CATTTAATATTATTATTTTGTTTAAGTTTTGGGGTGGGCTAACAATGAAATTCATTCTGAGGTAATATTAATTTTTTAAGCAGTGATACTTACATTTTTTGAGTATAAAATCAACAGTTTTCTCCAAAAGAGATCTTCAAGCAGCTGCCCGTCTCCTTTGTGCAGACATTACAAACGCTGTTCTAGGTTGTGCTGTGAAGTTACTGATGTTATGAAGTGTTAGAGCACCTGTCGCTCATATAATTTAAACTTATTATATGCAAGATCATGGAAAGATACTATAGTTTATGTAACAATCATAGTGACAAAACAGAAAATATAAAGATCATTGGTTTGTGTACATCATAATATGACAGAAAATTATATTTATACACAGAAAATAAGAACAATAAAAAAGGCTAAATATCTTCATTCTTTATAATACATAAAAAAGTTGTTGTTATATCTAAACGAGGTAAATTCATGAAGAAAAAGAGGAAAACTTAAAGGAGAAACTTTTTGGGTATAAAATAAAGAAATTAACAACATAATCAAGAGATAATGATTTTGGGGTTTCTTAATAAAAAAAATATCGTTAGAATAACACTGTTGGTCACATTAGTAGGGTTTAAAATAGAACAACTTAAATCAACCCTAAATGTATTCACAAAATAAATAGGCAGCTGTTTCTTCAACAATACCACAACAAAATGAGCAAGTTTCATCAATATCAAGATATTTATAGGTAGATTAATTAAACGTATGGTTCATATTTTTTTTTATTGCATGAAGGTGTTGCGCTTGTGATAACGCGTAGTAGGTCACATGATAACGTCAACATGGCAGATGTCCGGTTCGCATTCATACTCAACGAGATTTGGCTATAAAGTGCCTACTCTTTTAGCGCTCGATGAGTAAGTACTTATTGAAATTAAGTACCTACTCATTGAGTATGCGGTTTGGAACGCAGGGTCTATCTTAGCCTGGCTGCGCCCGCCTACGCACTTCCGCTCAATTTCATTTTCCATGTACGAGAGTCTGGTAGAACCAGGCTAGGTCTATCTAGCCTCCGTTTTGTTTGAAAATACTTTAAACAGCTAATATCTGGAGAAATTTTAAGAAATATGTGAAGGGCTTTTATTGTAGTGTGTAGTTTTTTATTTTGTCTTCCTTACCCACATGGAAAGAAACTATATGAGGATATATGCGCATATATGAAACCTATATGCAGTTTATATGCACATATATGCTGCATATATACAGCATATATGCACATATATGATAATATATATGCTGCATATGTGTGTATATATGACACATATAGGCAATTTTAGGTGCATATATGCACATATATGATAAGATATATGCTGCATATGTGTGTATATATGGCACATATAGGCAATTTTAGGTGCATATATGTGCATATACAGGCCACATAGGTCTCATGCATTGCTTCTTTATATCCACACTTAAGTGCTATATACAAGAGTATCCTATACTGTAGCTCATGGCAGGATCTGGTCATTTGTAGCTCATCCACTCTAAACAATGCTGGGTTGTTTGAACCCAAATTTGGGTGAAATATGGACAACCCCAAATGTTTGGTTAAAAATGTAATTTCAAATTTTAACCCAAATTCAACTTTCACTTTCACTTTTTCAACTGTACATTTTTTTAATTGCATTTTTAACCCAACATTTGGGTTTGTCCATGTTTGACCCAAAGCATTTTTAGAGTGTATATGTCACTATATTGCTCAAATAAATAAATAAATATTTATATACATATCAGAATGACTTAGTGGAAAAGAAGGAAATGTATAACAAAAGGGTTTGTTGTTTTTTCATTTTACCAAAAAGCCCTTTTTCCAATTTCAAGTCACTTTCCCATACACATCCACACATTCACCGATACCAAATGCAATGCAAATTGCAATGTTTTCTGTATTGTCTGAATGCAGTTTTTTTTTTTCTGGCTGAAAGGTCATTACAGTCAAAATGTAGCAAAAAAAAAAAAAAAAAAAAAAAAAAGTGAATAGAACGTACATTCAAATAATCATCATCATCCCACCATCTATCTGAGCAATTCACAGTGGTTAATAAATTCGAATGCTGCTGCACTGCCGATTGGCCGCTACAGCGCCCCGTAGTTGATGACGTCACCCGCCTAACGCTTGACGTTATCCGTATCCGATGAGATGAAGTCAAGTTTCGCGCCGGAAGATAACGGCTCGGAGTAAAAATTGCGATTTCAGCATTGGAGATCCTCTAAGTCCTACTTATCACCAATCGTAAGTATTCCTAATTTTATATTTATTTGCAGGGTGGAAATTGCGGTGGCAGAGAAGTATAAACTTAGCATTTATTTTTTGCCAAACACACCTGTTTCAGCCCATACACTTCCTATGTTGTTAGCTGGTGAGGTAACATAACGTTACTGTGGGTGCTAAAATAACTTAGCCGTTGATAAGATTCAATTCAGAATTAACGTGTATTTATTTGTTTCTTTCTGGAGGAATTCGTAGAGGGTTAACAAAAGTCATGGCCTAGAGAACATAACGTCATGAGAATAAATGATACTTCTCTGCCAACGGCTCAAGAAGGCAATCGGCTCCAGAAAAAAAAAAAAAAATACCTGTGGAGTTTGAATTTGGTCGAAATTGGTGAAAGAAAGAGCCGTATCAATGGGCTTGCCTTTACAGTTGCAGGAAATGTCTTTCAAATAGTAAACATTAACGTTAGGGCATTACTATTTTGATTAAGTGATTGTAATTGTTTTTTTTTTCTTTATATAACCTCTTTCTAGAATTACCTCAAATGAAAAGTTACCTCGCCATTATTGCTCAAAAAGGTAAGTTCCTCTGATTTTGCTTTTTAAAATGGTTCCTTAAGCAGAGCTGTAGAGACTTATGATGTTGGGCTGATTGATAGTGTTAATTATTTGATTTAAGTTATTTGCACTTTAATTTATTGAAGAGAATAACTTTTATTTTTCTTCTATGAACAAGACTGGAAGGAGTCCTGTTGAGGATTTAGATTCCTCCTCTTTTGAAAAGTGCAACCGGTGAGTAACCCCCTTGAATTTTTATTTATTTATTAATAAATATCCCCATCCCCACCCCGACACCCTATCCTCCTCCTCCTCTCCTTTAAGAACATTAAGGGCAATTATTAATTTGTTTCATATTATTATTTTGTGTAATATTATTATTTTGTTTCTTTATCATTAATCTGCATTCATACATAAAAACATATAAACTATTGGGAAGCTAAGGATAAGAATCAATATGAAACAATGCCAATAAATGAATAAATTATTTTTCAGATTGAAGTTATAAAGGGCTCTGGGGTGTTTTGCCAGGGAGAAATGTGGAAAGCAGCCCTCCTTGCCACCTCTGCTACTGCCATGGTGTGGAATCTGCTGCTGGGCACATTTGATCTGGAGACTTTGCTGAAAAACAACCTGAATGGTACAAATTATTCTCCTAATCTCTTCTGTCCGTAAAAAACAATTAATATTCTGTGGAATAAATTATGTTTGTGTGCGGGCATACCATCGCTTTTTTACTTGCCATTTTTGTATTTCCTTGCACCTCAAGAAAATGTGATGTGTATATAAAAAAAGTATTGCTTTCACAAGCTTCATTTTAACCCCCTTTTATAATAATTTTGAAATTTTACTTTAAGGTGGGAAGCCAACCAGAGGGGATGGGGAGCAGCTGGTCGCCCTTGACCAAATTAAAAAGGCATCATTATTGGTGAGTAAATGTATAAAAGTTTTGTTTTCCCTTCTCAACGCATTAGGATTTTATAAGTTCACCACTTTAACCATAGCCTACTTGTATCAATGTTTATTAGGCATCAATTGAGACTGTATAAGGGATTATTGTTACTATATCTACTTGGAACCTATAATACTAATTCATCGCTTGCTCAGTTCTTGATCCTAACTTTCCTTTTCTTAAGCCACGTTTCAGATTTTTCAGAATCTTCAGAATCTTCCAATTGACATGTTTACATGACGCATTTTTTAAAATGATCAACCTTTTATCAAAAAATATGTGTCCGATCACATCTGTACTGTAAGCACTTTGGGTTCCTGATGAAGTACTATATTCTTCTTCTTCTTCTTCTTATTATTATTATTATAGTGTCTTATTATTTTTGTCTTCTCTAGATGCTACATTGAAGAAGTGGCCGTCAGCCAGCCGAGGGGAGGTGGGCACGTCTATCAATTCAAAGCTCATGGAGCTGAGAAGATCAAAAAGATTTTTTTTCTATCCAGTTTTTTTGTCTTATTTTTGTTTTTGTACTATTTGATCTTAAGTAAATAAATAATCTAAATGCATACATTTTGGACTATTATTTATGTTGCCTAGTAGCTATGGATTTTAATAATTATTCTAATATAGGTAAACATGTTGGTGCATGTATAAATGCACCTATATGTGCACATATATGCGTACATACATGTACTTATATAGGTACATGTATGCATGTATATGTGTACATATATGCATGCATACATGTACATATATAGGTTCATATATGCACAAATATATGCACCTATATGTGTACATATATGCGTGCATACATGTTCATATATGCACCTATATGTGTACATATATGTGTGCATACATGTACCTATATAGGTGCGTATATATGTGTACATATATGCACGTATATATGTACATATATGTGCATATATGTACATATAATATAGGAAAACGGCCAATTTTATATATGTCACATATATTAAAAACATATATCAAAACCTATATTAAAACATATATGTTTATATAGGTTTTTTCCATGTGGGTATTTTGCTGTATTCCAACGCTATCTACTTAATGAAGGTCATAATCATAGTCCAGTTAAAAGCAAACTAATTAGAAACATGTCACACAATGATATATTGAATTAACAAGAATCAAAACTATAGGCTATCTTACCTTTCACATTGCTTCTAAACTATTTTAATGGTCACAGCACCCATAAGCAGTCTCACATGAAAGGACAAAGGCTGCAGATGTATAAGAAAGTTTATTTATTAGGCACAGCAATGGATGAGCATTTCCTGAAAATACAAGTCAACTTATGTTGTAAACATCAATTATGCAGAAAAAAACAAAAAAGACTTTTTTTCTTCTCAAACATGTTAAATAACTAAAAGAACAAATAAACATCTGTAGTGTACTAATGATTCATTTGTATATATGTTTTTGTATCTCTCAACAACAATGTCAGTTTGTGCGGCACAATTCACTTAAATGGAAACATAAAGAGTGAATATTCTTGGTCACTAATTTGGGTTGATATAACAGAAATCCCTTGGCACTTTGTAAGACTGCTAAAACAATTCATGGCAGGCCGCATATGGCACAAACTGGTTTAAAACAAAATACAATAAAACTCAAAATAAACTGTAAAAATAATATTTGGTCATGTAATGCACTGGCAAAAAGACAATCTCTTAAAATATCCTTCAAAACAATTCACAAAATCAAGTGTTACTTACAAAAAACACATTTAGGGACTAAATAAAAGTGCTGGCACAATTAAATCCATAAGAATGAAGTAATAAACACACTGTTAATCAAACAGATTTTCATACAGAGATGTATTGCACCTCTTTAATACATCTCTGAGAAAGTTTCCTGTCAGATGATATATAGACATCTAGAAGATGTCTGTAAGATGTTTATGGTTTAGAATGCATGTAAAACTGCTCTTTAATTCTAACTTGTTTATCAGATGTCCACAGGAGATATTTTCCAGATCTCCAGATCTTTAGTAGACATCTTACAGACGTTTCTGTGCTATCTCATGGTTATCACATTCTCACGCGCACACAGCAGCCATTATAAGACCGAAAGTGCACATGAAGTTAGCCATTTGGGGCTGCATCCTTCAAAGGCCTCATTTGTAGGCCGATTGCGTCATTGAAAACATCTTTAGGGACAGAATAAAAGTGTTGGAAAAATTCAGTCCATCGAATGAAGCAATAACAGACGGTTGCTCAAATAATACATTTAATAACTCTTAACCTACACCCTATTTACAAGGCATTGTATTGCCTTTTTTGGAAACATAGTTAACACCTGATCCTGTTATCTTACTTTTTGTGATCTTTCATAAACATAATCATAAAATCTAATCATGTCCATTGGGCCCTTCTTGCATATCTGAGAGACTTTAGCAAATGCCATATATGTTTTGCCAATATCTGTTTTCATACATATTTTAAGGACAAGTAAGAAGCTCATAGGAAAGAAGGGGTGAGCGATAGCACAGTTAATTGATAGTTAGCACAGCTATGATCCAGCCTCTTGTTCCTGTCCCAACGCTTCCAGTAGCAGGCCCATGGGTGTCCTCTTCAATCCTATACTCTCCAACTTATTCTCTAGTTTGTTCTTAAGGCTTCTGAGTCTTATTGAAGCATGGATTAAAATCACTGTGAGGAGAAAGCATCAGAGGGGACTGTTACAGCGTGATATGGCAAGATAATACAAATACACAATGCTCAAGCTAACAATTAGATTGTGTACATACAAAGTATTCAAAGAACAAAAATAACTGAAAGTATTTCAATGCACTAATGAGATACTAGTACTTTTTAGTACTTATATCTCATTAGTAGACAACAAAGAATACTAACTTAATATGGGGAAGGCAATGCCAAAAAGGAAGACAGCTACTCCTCCTAAAGCAGAAAGAAGAAGGTAGCTGGAGCCCAAAATTGCAGCCAGGGAGAGCGATGGATGATTCCTCCGGAATCGTCGGATTACTGCCTTGTTTTCAGCTGCCCAGACAAACCCCAAAAACAGAAGGATCACTATTGATGCCCCAAGGATCAGCTGGAGTGGTTGGAAATATCTATGGCACAATTACACACACAAACACAAAATAAATTGTTATTGTAGTATACTATTACAATTTATTTATTTATTTAATTTGATATTAAATACATGAAATGTTTCGTATTTTGTGTTTTAATAGACCTATGTCTATACAGCCTATATATATATATATATATATATATATATATACACTGTATATATTTTCTTATGTCAGTTTTAGTTTTAATTTTAGTACATCAAGTTACTAAACTAAAAGAGAAATGTTAGTTACATCAACTAAAAGAGAAATGTTGGTGAAGTGAAGAAAGTGAAGAAACTATCGGCCACTGAAGGAAAGGGATATTTATCTTGACCTGGCATGAGTTGGTTATATGAGAGCTGTTTGAAAGTAGCATCTGGTTAGCTGCTACTGCTTTATAACGGTCTGTGTGATGCCAACAAAACAACGTCTTAATAAACCTGTCAAAGCCATGACACATTTTCGTTATCAGATCACTCCAAAAAGAGAAGTGAATGTTGGCCTAATCCTTATTTTTAAAATATAGGTCACACTACAAATTGATTCATTGTGAGATTTTTTTTAAACAAAACGAATTCAATACATAACATAACATAATAACACAAACAGGGTAAAGAGTTTTAAAAGAAGAGTGAATAGGTCTGAATGAAAACCGTTACACGTCACTGGTGTTTCCTTACCCGACTATAAACAAAAAAGCCGCGGCGAAAGCAAAATAGTTCGACTGGTAATACAGAAGGTTGTTAATGATTCGGTTATTCCACCGATCCAAGTTACGAACATCAGGCACAGACAATCGAGCAGAACAAAGCAGAAAATCGTCCAGGGTTCTGAAAGGAGGAGGCTGAAAATCCACCATTTTGACGCTTTTGTTGACTACATTTACCAGCATGCATTGCAAACCTACGAGACTGAAAACACTTCACACGCTGATTGTGAGTGACTTCACAGCAGATCATCACGCTTCCCTGAAATTTGATAATTAATTGCAATTAATTTTCCCTCTAAGGTTTTTTTTTCCATAGTCAAACTATCTAGCTAGTTATTAGTTATCTAATATTAAAAACATTTTTTTATTTAACAAGAAAGTCATACGAACCTTAAAGTGTTAACCTGTCACCTCTGACTTCCAACAGCTGTCACAGCTCATGGTGCAGATGGGATGTGTTGTTGCAGGAACTGATTTGCTACTAGCTACTGATTTGCTACTGGTCGAAATCTCATGCTACTTAGGACAAATGTAATGTACAGAAGTAGCTGCACTGCGTAAATACAAAATTAAAGTTGTTGAACGAAAAGATAAGTAAAGTCACTCTGATGACACAATTTTTATGTGAAATGTGCATATTTACCCCCAATTGTCATGTTATGTTGTAATTTTTTTTTTTAAACTTGAAACCAATTTCATTGGATTTCTTGACCCCAAAAATGTACACTTTGACACTAAATTTGTCACAGAAGGAAAGATATGGGCTCTAGACAGGGGCGGAGTGGGACCAAAAAATCTACCGGGAAATTTCGTAGACCCCCGGCCCTCGTTGCCGGCCAGATTTTAATAGCCGATAGCATTTACAGTTTTACTGATTTAAAAGGAACTTTGTTGTACTGGTATGCTGGAGTAAAGTTTATAAATGGTCGTTCTTTCCCATAGTAATTTCTAAAACTATGATGGGAGGACTCTGTGCCTTTAGGGGGGTTGGGGGGCATGCTCCCCCGCAAGAAAATTTTGGACATTTTAAGGTTAAATGCATCAATCTCGTGCTCTCGAGAGATCGAAATTAAGAGCTTCAACCCATGAACTGCTCGTTGAACAAAGAAAAAACATTAATTTGTACCAGGACAATAAAGAGGGCTCAAATATCTTTTTAGTTATGAGAGTCTCAGTCTGCATTACATTATCAATGGTGTTTTAGGATGCCAAACAACAATTATCATAATAATGTAATAATGATTTATAATTATTCCTCCTATGACGTACTGTAAAATCCTTTTATAGCCTATAAATGTACTATGTAAATGAAAATGAGTATTTCAAAAGTATATTTTAACCTACATTACACTATAATATACTTTTGTCCTAATTCCTTCACTTGCAAGAAATAAACCCTTGAGCTTTTATTTAGGAGAAAACACCAGTTGACCAGATGATCGCGTGAGCAAAGTAATCATCACGCAGCACAAACTGGATGCTATTCTAATGTCAGTTATTATAATGGCGCAACGCCATATCATGGTTTCAATTTTAGTTTGTTGGCAAAATATAACGCTATAGATCTTAATGTTAGGTTTTACATTTTACATCTTTACATATGTGTTGGGAAAATGGAGAAGAGAGAGTTCGGCAAAAGGCGGATTCGAACTCGCGTTCAGCGCATCAAAAAGCTGCTTTCAAACACTTCACACCCTACGACCTACGCCACTGAAGCTGTTTTAAGCTGGGCGTCATTTTGCTGTAAAGACAAGTGCTTATTGCAAATATATGCTCCCTTGTAGAAAATGTAAAATAAAAAAAAATGTTTTCTTCCCTTAGCTTGGGCCATGGCGAACTTCCAATAAATACATTTTATCAGACCGGCCCTCGCAGCCTCGAAACACTACCGGCCCACCGGGAAAACTCCCGACTCTCCCGGTTGCCAGTCCGCTACTGGCTCTAGAGTATTTTCGGCGCATTGGCGGCCATTTTTTGAAAAAAAAAACATGTTTATAAAACAGATGGAACTCAGGTTTATAGAAATATTTTTTTTCTTTTTCAGAAAATTATAAATGGTGAAAAAACAGTAAACAAAATCAGATGTATTCTTGTAGGGCTTGACTTAAGGATTCAGAAGAAAATGGGAAAACCATCCCACTAAGTTTGGAGTCTCTATGAATTATGGTCTCAGACGTTCAAACACTTTTAGTGCAGAAAAAGAATATATGGCAAAACAGTAAAAAAATACTTCCAGCACCATTATAATAGCATCTCTAAAACAATACAGGCCAATACATAAACCATTGAATTCTTTATTGAGACAGGTTACTTATACATACATATTCTCGTATTCTTGTCTCTAAAGTGCTCCAAAAATAAATAATCCATCAAAACATTACACAAAGTTTGTATTAGAGAGTGTAGGAAAAATAACAGTACCAAACTGGAGAGATTAAATGACTTTGAGCAGTGTCTCTTTTGACTGCAAGTTATGTATTGGAGATGAATTAATTTCAGTTTATTAGTTAAGAATGCAGGAGAGGCTATGTAATGGGAATGGGAAAGATCCAAAGTCTTTGAAATATCAAAACTGAAACAACTTTACAAGATCTAAAGCAAAATCTCAAAGCGATTTCTGGTGAATATAGAGTCCATATCATATATTAGATTAAGATAAATGTAATATAAAAATGCCCTGGAGCTTTGCATAGCCTTTTCTGCATAACACTGCATCAGTGATAATATAGCAAAACATAAATTATTTCATGTTAACTTTCATAGGAATCATTAATCATGTCTCTGCAATTAATTACATATCTAGAATATCTCCAACTGAGTTAGTCTGGCAAAATGTAAAGTGCTGTAACGGAGAGTATTTTTCTAGCACACATTTATACAGTATATTTGCCATATGAAGTGTTCAAACAAGCCTGAATTAACTTGACCAAAATCTTTGGGTGACAATTTTTTCCTTACAAATATATTACAATTCAAACATAATACAAATTACATGCTGCTTTCCCCTGAGTGGCCATCTAATAGTGGTGCAGGGTTGACATATTTTTTAGGACAACCTGGAAGTTAGCATCATCTTCAAAAACCCAATATGATTTTTCCATTGAATTATTGCAGAAAATAAGGTCTTTGAAAAACAAAAGCTTATCATATCATGAAAATATTCACGAATGAACACAACTTTTATGGATTTTGAAGCGTAAAAACAATCGGCAGAAGTCAAAAGCAAACTGTAGGCTATAATAGAACTACACCATGGTCGCATGAATTCAGCATCACAATAAGCTTCTGACAACTTTGGTCTTTGGTTATAAACATTTTCCCTGAAAGTTATAATAGTTTGTATGAGCACTATTATAAACGCAATAAGTGGACTAGTGAAAAGATGAGTTTACCTCTTTAATGTCCCTGACAACCTCTGTAGTCCCACTTAGCCACTTGTTAGCAAGTAAAAGCTTAAAAGAGAAATCACAAGATTATATTGCTGATATATTTTATATCATAGAATAAAAGGGGTTTTACATTTTGAGTTTGTGTTCATCACAGACCTTATTTCAAGCATTTAACCAACACCATTGACTTTAGGACGATGGAACCAGTTTCCAAGTTTTGGCCTTAAAAATACAGCATCCCAACAATACTATAGAGGATAAAGAGAATTCAGGAGTACCCCCTGTCTCTGGAGGGTACTGTGTAAACTATGATGATCCTCTCTTATTCACAGTCTATAATATTACAGTATCCACTGCAAAACAGTGGTTTTACTGATACTGTCCATAACCACGTGTCTCTTGGCCTTCTTTCGGAGGAAGCTGACTCGGGTCCTCCACAAAGGGACTCGCTGTAGATGAAGAGAAGATGCAGATTGTGAACACCTCTGATGCAGCTTCAAAACTAAAGGTATAAAAATCTCATAATCTATTACAAATTATTTATGTTATATCACTTTGTTTTAAAGTATGTAGAACCGCACCTGACACGCAGGTATAAAAAAACAAGATATCATGGCCATGAATTTAGAATTTGTTTACTTGTTTTAGGTCAATTCCCCCATTTTAATTGAGTTAAATTGTTCTAATTCGTGGCAATGTAACAATTTTGGCATGATTTACACACATTAATAACAGGCAACGAATTAAAGTGCGGTTGAAATGAATTCTTAATCCATGGCCACAATATCATATATCTTGTGCATGAATAAAAATACCTTAGCTGTTTTTTAAAAAAAAATGAATGTGTTTTAGATATACTTTGTGTACCTCAAAAAAGAACAATCACAGAAATTAGGAGCGACATGACAAAATTTGTATTGTTGTGTAAATAATTCCTAAATTGAATCAACTCTCTGAATCACCCAGACCTACATTTTTGAAAATAAAGGTTCGAAAAGGAGCTTTTCAAAGCAATACAATAGAAGAACCATTTCGAGAACTTCAATGAACTTTTTTAGAGTCCCCCTATTATGCTATTTTAAAGGTCCCGTTCTTTGTGATCCCATGTTTCAAACTTTAGTTAGTGTGTAATGTTGTTGTTAGAGTATAAATATAATATCTGTAAAATTATAAAGTTATATTGTCCATAGGCTGGAATTAGGCTGGAATTATGCAAATAAGTTACATTGTTACATGTAACAGGAAGTGAGACCTGATCTATTTTGACGACTCGTTTCAGCAGTTCTTTATTTTGGGAGACACTAACTTTATTTGTCATCATGCACTTTGATCTTTAAATCTTTGCAGGCCTTTTACAATTCATCTTTAATCACCACAATTACATATGTAAATGTTTTCCTTTAAAAAAAAACTCTTCATGCCTTAAAATAGCTTGAAACTCTACACCATTGCCTCATTTAGTATACGTGGTTCTATGAATATGCAAATTAGCCCCACCTTCACTCACTCACACCAGCTCAGAGATCCACACGCTGGCAATCACACATTGATGTGATTGGTTTACAAGTTAGTTTGTGACCGCGATTTTCAAACTGCGATTTTGAGACTCGTTAGTTCACTACAGTTTTAAAGAGAAAATACTCAGCAATGCTGTTGACTTATGAATTTGCACATGGTTTGTCTGAAAACATATCAAAAACACCACAAAGACATATAAACAACATTAAAAGCTTTATTTTTTACAACAGGGGGGCTTTAAAAAACAAATTAAAATTATTTTCTTACTGAGAAGAATATTTCAATAATCTAAATAACTTTTACTACTGTAAAGAACCTTTTGTGTAATGGAAATATTCCATGGATGTTAAAGGTTCATGGAGCCATCAATGTAAATGAGCAGCCTTTAATTTTAGTGTATTTTGAGTGTATTGTGTAACTCACGATTCTGAAACTGCTGTGCTGTATATCTAGTAAGAAGTATCCCAAAGCCCTCGATTAGTGCAAGCAGAATTCCCCCCATCATCGCAGAGCCCACCATGGCTAGTGGACCACCTGAAATACAAGCATTGCAAACACATTTTCAATGATCCAGAGGTAATTGCAAGATTAAAGATTTATGCTAATTAGGGTTGGGTATCGAGAATCGATTGGAACCGAGACTAACTTTTCGTTTTTCCCGGAATCGTTCAAAAGTTAAAATTTCGATTCCTAGTTTCGATATTCACAGTCCGCCGAGCGGAAGAAGAAACCGCTGAACAACACCAACAAAGAAGCGTCTACCGGAAGTGTTGGCATAACCACGCGAGTCGAACATGAGTACCTTACGTCGGCGATCCAAAGTGTGGCTTCACTTTTCTAAAAATAACGAAATCTCGGCAAAATGCAAAATTTGTGACAAAAGGAGTATTTTTACAGAAGGAGTATTTCCTTCAGAAAGGCCGTTGGTTAGCAAGGTTAGCTAAACTTTTTTGACCCTGCCTCTTAAAAGAATCGGAATCGAGAATCGTTAGGAACCGGAATCGAAACAAGGAATCGCAATCGGAATCAGAATCGTTCAAATTCAAACGATACCCAACCCTAATGCTAATACAGAACAGTCCAGATCATCGTATTATTTCCAGTAGGTCATTATACCTCAAATGTTTGTTTGTTTATTAAGATCCCCATTAGCTACTGCAAAAGCAGTTGCTATTCTTCCTGGGGTCTAAATGTCAAAGACTGGAATACACTACACAAATTTAGCTCCGATTTTTGGCTCGATTTGCATTATGAACGAGTCAACACTAGCTGCCTAAATTTAGAGCCATGCCTGCAGACTTTGGGCAGTCGGAGTTGACAGATTTGGAGTAGAAATCGTGCTGACAACTTGATTGGCACAGATTTTTTAGCTTCAGACTCTGATTCCATCCAGTCTGAGGATATCAAACATATATTTTGTGTCGATTTTAGAACACATAGGGCTAGATTTACTAAACAGGGCAAATTAGCGTGTGAGTGCCATTCCAAAAAGGCGCAGATGGGAGTGGAAAGTTATGTGGCAGATCTACAAATTAAAGAAAACAGACGTAGCTGGATCATCTCCATTATGACCAATGCAATCTACCAAGAGCAGCGAAATTTAGCATTTGGTTTAAGATAATAAATAATAGCACAAATACCAATAAATTGACTACTGCATAGTAAATAACCTTGCATGATTCATTTGAATACTCTCCACCCATAAATTTGGCATTCGAAAGGAAAACTCCAACAAATGCATATGCAATAAGGTCAGCCACAAAAATAACCCAGTCCATGCCTTTCAGTGCTAATTTTTCACTGTGTGTCTTTAGTAAATCCTGAAAAAAGAGGGTTTGTGCTGCTGGCACAAGCTGTTGGTAAATCAACAAATTCCTTGTTGGCCTGAAAAGAGACTTCCTTAGATTTCCACGACGCATGTGCGAGAATTGCGATCTCCTTCAACTACTTCAGTTCAGTTCTCGCGCACGCGTCGTGGAAATCGTATTGAAGTCTCGTTTCAGGCCAACAAGGAAGAAAATGAATAGTCGAATAAAGTCGTTATTTTTGTTTGTTTTTTCGCACAAAAAGTATTCTCGTCGCTTGATAAACTTATAGTTGAGCCACTGTAGACACATGGAATATTTAAACATTTTCTTCATTGACTTTCTGGGCCGTCAAGAGCCAGTCCCTTAGGCAGCCAATGTGGTAGTGATCTACCTCTCAAATTTAATCAAAAATATCTTCATTTGTGTTCCGAAGACGAACGAAGGTCTTACGGGGTTGCTACAGCATGGGGGTGAGTAATTAATGACTTAATTTACATTTTTGGGTGAACTAACCCTTTAAAGGGGTCATATAATGCCATTTTTAGGGTCTAAATGAAAACTTTGTAATATACTTTTCTTAAAAATTCTCATTAGTATTTTAAGAAAACACCATTTTACCTGGTCAAAATCAGCTCTTGTTTTCAGCACTCCGTTTCAGTGCATGCGCCTTTAAATAATAAACCCAGCGTTTCCTTGACAACAGTTGAAGGTTTTGGAGAGAGAATGGCAGCGGGAGTCTCAGAGGACACATCTGTGCAACCGTATCATTTTGAACCAGAGTTGCACCGCAAAGAAGTTCGACAATCAAGGCTTGAGGACGTTTCTGAATGGTTGGTTAACGTAATGTTACTTTGATCTATATTTGTATGCACTGGCAGGGTAGAGTAGTGAGATACGAACGCTGTGTGTTTACTGATGTATACGTTAGTTCATTGACAGAATGACGTTACAACTAATGGTCATGAAAAACTTTTTTCCTGTGATTTGCAAAGATTAATATAAAGATTCAAAAAAATTTAGGTGCAGAGGGAACATTAATAGTTGGTACCGATTATTTTTTCAGCAGCAGCATCTTAGCAAAACCGTGTTTATAAAGCAGTCTGGAGAGAAATGATTCGCGTAAACAAGAAAGTATTGACGTTGATCGTGGGGAATATTCCCTTCGTAAACAAAACTCAGCCACTGCGTCTTCAGCAGTTCAAATTTAGGAACATCAGAATGATTTCTGTGTTTATTATTGCACCCAAGAACAGAACAACACACTCGCTTAGATGCCATTCTGCTCCAGTGTATCAACAATGACGGATAGTCTATGATGATAGCTCGCTCAGGGCGGGTCTGTGTTGAAACACTGCTGTCAATCAACAACCGCGGGAGGGGCGTGCGACTGTGTGACGACCAGTGTTGGGAGTAACGCATTACAAAAGTAATACATTACAGTATCATATTACTTTTTGCTGTAACGCAGTAGTGTAAGGCATTACTAATCAATTTTCAGTAATATTTTACTCGTTACATGTTCAGTGAGGCTTGTATTACAGTTGTATTACAGTGTATTGTCTGCTTTTACTTCTTAAAGGCAACAGACTATGTGAAAGTTTTAAAGCAGTCTTTTAGTGCCAGTTCAGAGCGGTCGCGTCTGTAACATTGTTTTTTCCTCATAAATGCGAACACGAAAACTAAAATAAAATGAATATTTTAAGTTCTATGGAGACTGGAGAGCCAACCCTTCCTCATCCGATTTGCGCAGTGTAATTAACAGAATTACAAAAAATCAATTTTGCCTCCTATTTTTTTGTCACGCATGAATGTGTGTCTTTTCCCTAATATTAAAAATAAAACATAGACTGATATTTGTCTGAGTCCTTTAAGGAAGTAGCCTATATACGTTTCAATACATGTATTTTCTGAGAATTTTTATTTCAAGTTTTGACTGCAAATGTCATCATGTCCATAATGCTGGACTTCCCCAATTTTAAATAATTTATCCTCAACTAGTTTTGTGGTGTAGGTCTACGTATTTTATAATGTTAACTTCAAATAATACTAATAGCCTAATTTAAAGATAAGGCAGCATTGGATCTGGACGGTAAGGAGAATAACGCTGGAGTTGGAAGAGGTTTGTCGCGATTCTGTAGGTTCGTGGATCTGAGTCGTGTGGCGAATCGCGATTTCGGTTTCATATTGCATATCGTTACAGCCCAAAAGTTAAGTTCTACTTAGTTATTTTGGTGAAAGTAACTCAAAAGTAATACATGAGTAATGTAACGCATTACAATTCTGGGACAGTAATATTGTAAGGTAATGAATTACTTTTAAATAACAGTAACAAGTAATACCTAATGTATTACAGTTTGGAAGTAACTTGCACAACACTGGTGACGACACACGGTCGAACCGCTCGATTTGAGGTAGGGGAAAACATATAAGAAGATAAAAACAAAACCACTGGATGGATTTTTATCATTAAATGATGGTTGTGTACAGGCACTGACACACATTGCAGTACAATCAACTTGTAAAAGTGCATGTACCATTATATGACTCCTTTAAAACAATCAATAATGATCTCAGTATTAATTATCTTGATTATATTCTGAATAATAAATAGGCTAAATATATTTATCCACTAACCTGCAGCAGTCCAATGCTTTTCTTCTCATTACCAACGTTTTTCTTGTACTGATATTTCATACCTATTGAGTTTACATTTTTAAATTAATTTGACTTAATAAAAAGGATTGCTTGTGTGCGTTTGGTGCTTTATTCCAGTCTTTTAAAATAGTTGTTGAATGAATGAATGCTCGGTAGGTGCCTGCAAATGCTATTTAATTAATCTTTAAACGCCGCAGCATAGAGGAGAATAAGACCCCGTTTACACCTGGTATTAAAATGCGATCTGTATCTGTCACGATTACCAGTTGGAGTGCCCCAGAGAATCACCAGAGGGCACTCCACATCAGAACTGATCACTTCTCCAGAACTCCATTTCCCATAATGCCTCATCCCGGTGACTGATTACACACACACCTGCACCTCATCAGACTCTCTATTTAAGCCACACTCTTACACTCACCCAGTGCGAAGTATTGCATTGCCACGGCTTGTAATTTCTGAGCGTATATCCTGTTTCTGGTTTCTCTGGTTTTGATCCTGGTTTGTTCCCTGACTTCTGCCTGTTTGCTGCCTGCCCTGATCTTCTGCCTGTTACCTGACGACTCTCTGCGCTCACTCTCTGATATCCCTGTTTTGCTGTTTCCTGACCCCTGCCTGTTTGATGATTCTAAATAAAGCTGCACATGGATCTCATCTCGTCTCCAGCTTCGTAACAGAATACTTCGCCTCTTCAGATCCAGCAGCCGAGAGAGAACCGAGATCCACCATGGACCCACTTATTAGTCTCTTCCGCCTCAGCCAAGGTAATCGTTCTATAGAGGAATATGTTGAGGAATTTTGTGAGTTATGCCATGGGGTGGACTTGGATGATTCAGTCTTAAAAGATGCTTTCCGATATGGACTTAAGGACATAATAAATTATCTCATGCCTGATAATACCCCTCAATGGACTTTATGTCAGTATATTGGATTCGCCCTGAGAATTAGCGGCTCATCATTTACTGTGGGCTTTGAGGATAAGGCCGAAGGGGCGTTCCCAGAGATCGTCCAGCCTGAGACCATCCAGCCAGAGACGCTTCACGTCACTTCTGCCGAGCCAGAGACGCTTCACGTCACTTCTGCCGAGCCAGAGACGCTTCACGTCACTTCTGCCGAGCCAGAGACGCTTCACTTCACTTCTGCCGAGCCAGAGACGCTTCACTTCACTTCTGCCGAGCCAGAGACGCGTCACTTCACTTCTGCCGAGCCAGAGACGCGTCACTTCACTTCTGCCAAGCCAGAGACGTTTCACGTCACTTCTGCCGAGCCAGAGACGCTTCACGTCACTTCTGCCGAGCCAGAGACGCTTCACGTCACTTCTGCCGAGCCAGAGACGCTTCACGTCACTTCTGCCGAGCCAGAGACGCTTCACGTCACTTCTGCCGAGCCAGAGACGCTTCAAGTCATTTCTGCCGAGCCAGAGACGCTTCACGTCACTTCTGCCGAGCCAGAGACGCTTCAAGTCACTTCTGCCGAGCCAGAGACGCTTCACGTCACTTCCGCCCAGCCAGAGTCTCGTCCCGCCGAGACAGCCCAGCCAGAGTCTCGTCCCACCGAGACAGCCCAGCCAGAGTCTCGTCCCGCCGAGACAGCCCAGCCAGAGTCACGTCCCGCCGAGACAGCCCAGCCAGAGTCTCGTCCTGCCGAGACAGCCCAGCCTGAGTTCCATGTCAGCCCTGCCGAGTCTGAGCCTGTTCACGTCACTTCTGCCGAGCCAGAGACGCTTCACGTCTCCAAACCAGTGTCTACGGACAAGATGGCCGCCTCCGAGCCAGTGTCTACGCACAAGATGGCCGCCTCCGAGCCAGTGTCTACAGACAAGATGGCCACCTCCAAGCCAGTGTCTACGGACAAGATGGCTGCCTCCATGCCGGTGTCTCCGGACAAGATGGCCACCTCCAAGCCGGTGTCTCCGGACAAGATGGCCACCTCCAAGCCAGTGTCTCCGGACAAGATGGCCGCCTCCAAGCCAGTGTCTCCGGACAAGATGGCCACCTCCAAGCCAGTGTCTCCGGACAAGATGGCCACCTCCAAGCCAGTGTCTCCGGACAAGATGGCCACCTCCAAGCCAGTGTCTCCGGACAAGATGGCCGCCTCCAAGCCAGTGTCTCCGGACAAGATGGCCGCCTCCAAGCCAGTGTCTCCGGACAAGATGGCCGACCCAGTGTCTCCGGACAAGATGGCCGACCCAGTGTCTCCGGACAAGATGGCCGACCCAGTGTCTCCGGACAAGATGGCCGACCCAGTGTCTCTGGACAAGATGGCCGACCCAGTGTCTCCGGATAAGATGGCCGACCCAGTGTCTGTTCCTGAGCCAGTGTTTGTTTCTGTCTTTGTTTCTGTGTTTGTGACCATTTCTGTTCTAGTGTCTGTTCCTGAGCCGGTGTCTGTTCCTGAGCTGGTGTCTGGTCCCGAGCCGGTGTCTGGTCCTGAGAGGGCATCACCGCCGTGGCCGCCCGAGGGGTCCTCACCGCCGTGGCCGCCCGAGGGGTCCTCACCGCTGTGGACGCCCGAGGGGTCTTCACCGCCGTGGAAACCCGAGGGTCCCACAGTTCCGCCCTGGCCACGTCCACAGCCTGCTCTGCTCTGGCCATGCCCACAGTTTGCTTCGCCTTGGACACCCGAGGGTCCGACAGCTCCGCCCTGGCCTTCGCCTGCACAGCCTGCTCCGCTCTGGTCGCCTGCTCAGCCTGATACGCTCTGGTCACCTGCTCCTCTTCTGCTCCACGGACCTGGCCCTCCATCCCACCCCCAGATCCGCCTTCGCTCCACCGCCCACCTGGACAGTTTTGTTTGTCTTGAGCGTCTGGAAGCCGCTCTTTGGGGTGGGGCTATGTCACGATTACCAGTTGGAGTGCCCCAGAGAATCACCAGAGGGCACTCCACATCAGAACTGATCACTTCTCCAGAACTCCATTTCCCATAATGCCTCATCCCGGTGACTGATTACACACACACCTGCACCTCATCAGACTCTCTATTTAAGCCACACTCTTACACTCACCCAGTGCGAAGTATTGCATTGCCACGGCTTGTAATTTCTGAGCGTATATCCTGTTTCTGGTTTCTCTGGTTTTGATCCTGGTTTGTTCCCTGACTTCTGCCTGTTTGCTGCCTGCCCTGATCTTCTGCCTGTTACCTGACGACTCTCTGCGCTCACTCTCTGATATCCCTGTTTTGCTGTTTCCTGACCCCTGCCTGTTTGATGATTCTAAATAAAGCTGCACATGGATCTCATCTCGTCTCCAGCTTCGTAACAGTATCCAGATAAGTTATCCGGATAATAAGTACTGATTCCATTTACACCTGGCCACATAAATGTGTTTTTGCAAAACGGATATAAATCCGATCTTCACCTCCTGCGTTATATGCAGATTTATTGGATTGCACGCCACCAAAAGCAACAGATCTGAGCGGCATTTTATTGATCATCAGCTAATTTCCAAATCAGAGACATCAATAAGAGAGAGTGGCAACAGGCCTGGTAAGATAATTTCGTTTCTTTACTTGAAGATGTGTTAACTGCGTCTGTGACTTACTTTCACTTTTATTTGCGATGTTTGCCCGTTGAATAGACACTCAGCTGCTCATCTGCGGTGATGCGTGTCGCGTGTCGCATCTGACTAGGCTATAACATGACATATAGCCTATATAACACGCTCTCACTCGTTTATTTTTTAGCATTTTTTGGGAGGAGTAAAATATACATATGTGGTTTCAACAACCAGATTGCGTTTACACCTAGTAAAGATCCGGACACAATGCGAGCCAGACTACCTCCAGATGTGGTCAGGCAGATCCGATCACGATCCGATCACAACGCGTTTACACCTTGCATTAACATGCGTTTTTTATTATCCGGATAACTTATCTGGATACAGATCGCATTTTAATACCAGGTGTAAACGGGCCTTAACAGTCAGCTACTTTGAATATTAATTAGGAAAAGACTGATTTTGAAACTGATTCAAATATTCAATCCAAATAAATAAATGTTTGTGGTTCGTACTGATGTTATTCATCTGTTCTCACACACTTCAGCGTCACGGTGACTAGTTTAGACGAACACTGACAACCCTGTGGTGAAATAATGGCGCTAGTTTAACAGCTGCTGCTTTCTCAGATCGGCTTGGGTTGGATTAAAACTTAAAGTTCCAATGAGTTTGGAAAATTCTGCACACAGTAAACATCAGAATATCTCCTGTCTATAAAAATTTCCAAATTTTTAAATCTCATTGCGGATACTAATTTTAGGCGGCGTTTGTTCAAATCAATGACCACAGTACATTGAAAGCAAACATACCCGGGAATAAGTGAGATGTACTATTTTTAAACGGAGGTGCGTTCCGAAGCTCAATGCAAGTGGTCCATTGTTTTCATTTGTCAAGCATGTCCTAGCAACGAGGCGCATGTTTCAGTGTGAATTTGTTGTTTATGGAAAGTCTCATAGTATATGATTCCCAGGCTTTCCTTTGTAACCATTTGACAAGTATATGATGCCTGATGTTTTAAAATCTCTTTAGTTTTTAAAAGTCGTGTAGTGTATTCCAGCAGTCACATTATTATTGTATTGTGCAGTCAGGACGGAATCTTATGGGGCAAAAAATGCCAATGGTCTATTACTAGCATAGCAATTGTATGAAGCACTGCTCACTCAGAAGTCACTTCAAAGCATGCTGCTTTCTGTTGGTCAACGTGGCGAAATCACAAAGCCAAAATATTTCACCCTGATGCAAAATTCCCAATTGCACGGATCCCCATTGAAATGACTGGATTTTGACTGTGAACAATGGTAAATATGAACACAGCATTAATGAAAGAATACTGATAATAGAATAATAACCACTATGATAATCTTACTGCGTGCTGCCAGTATAGCTCCAGTCATGGCTCCACTGGTGATGGAGTTCCAAGGGTCTTCCTTACCCCGTAAACGCACAAGACCACAGTCTATGGTGGAAAAGAGTCCACCCCACACAGCAAAACTACCTGCAAGAGAAACAGAACCCAAGCCACAATATATAGTGATTCATGAATCACTGATATGTACAGTACAAAATGCAAAAACTAGTCATACACAACAGTTTTATACCACACAAGATCATACCAAAACAATACAAAAAATTATTCTGCAACATCACCTCCAATTTGTGGTGCTCTTACTCTCACAGCATTTGCGCTCCCTCTTAGCCTGTGTCGTACACCCTAAGTAACAGAGAGTGTTTATTAGTAGTAAATGTATTGTATTGTGTATTAGTGATAGTAATTGTTGAGCTCAGCTGTTTTATTGGTGTCAGTGAAGCATACCACAGGTGCGTTCCGAAAGCCTTTAACTGACTGGAACACCCCCCCTCCAATTGCCCCCATGGTAAATGCACCTCCACAGTCATCAACTATCCTCCATGGACTAAAAAAAGATTACATAATAGAGCTGTTATTAAGTTAATATATCATTGCATCATATGTGATGCATGATTTTTTTTGAGGCATCTAAATTACCAACACACAAAACATAGCTGAAAACCCTGTTGTACAAAACCTTCTTCATGCCTTCTGCCCTCTAATTGATAGTCAATACTCTTTTTTTGTAAGTAAAATGCCTTTAATATTTCTCTAAAAATGTCCCCCCTTTAGACCTTTGTTGTAACATTTCTAAAAAAAGGTAAACATAAGAATATTGTTCTTTTTATATTGTTATTAATATTTCAAGATAATCCTAGCCTGAAGCAACTTAGATTATCCATACGTTATTGTTTTACAAAAATGTGTCTATCAAATATGATACAATAGGTACTCAAATATCATTGTATTGAATTGCATTTTATGTTTTGCCCACCACAATTAAAAAACTAAAAAATAAGCATGTAAATATCATCTTCCTAAGACATATTATTAATAGATATAGAGTGATAACTGATTTTATATGTAATTATAATTTATGCAAGTAGTCTGTTATATTGTTATAAAGATCTAATTGATTTACATTACCAAATGTGCAAATTTATGCTCTGCTTGAGCCTCTGAATGTAACTGAGGTGTATATTTTCTCCTACACTATGGAGCATGTTCTTACATACTATGAGCCATAAAAGCCTGATGTATCAAATATGATACACAAAATAAAAACACACAAGGAATATTTTATTTTATATTTACCTAATAATTCGTTAAACTGTTCCATTTGAAACTACAGATTTTCCTATGATTTTCTATTATTTCATGTATTTTTAGGGATGATTTTTTATTACTTAGTCTACTCTTATTTCATATAGCTTTACAAGGATAAATCGTTTTATCATGTCAACGAACTCTAAACAAGCAGTTAAAGCTTTCAGTGAAGGAGCCGAGCATATTGTGCATCTTCAGCGCTGAGATGATATCTCACATGATAGCACTCGGTGTAAAGTGTCAACAGTGTGTCTGAATGTCATCTTAGAAACCGATGCACGACACGAAAACTAATGAGAATATAAACTGCTTCAAATAACGGAACTGCGGACCCGTCAGAAGTGAAGTCAGGATGTACTTTACCAGGGTTCACGGGCATATTCCTCCATGATAAACAGGTGACGTCAGAGTGGTTACGCATTTTGTCCGTGACAGAAGGATATAGAACTCTTTTTTTTTATTTTTTATTTTTTTACAGTCTGTACCTCAAATTACTGTCTATGTGTAGAACCAGTGAAATAGGGCATGATGTAATAACATTACTTACGCATTGAAATCTGCGTACGCATTTTTTTCTCGTTAAAAAATATAGAGATTTATATATGATTAAACAAATGATTTTAAACTGTTTAATTATAGCCTATAATAAATATTACACTCATTATCGGAGTTCATCACTCAAATTACAAGTGTGTATATTTACAAAGTATGTATCCAGAAATTAATATATATATATATATATATATATATATATATATATATATATATATATATATATATATAATTTAACGTGGATTAGAATATATGCATATGAAAATCATGCCGATTAAGATATTTATTATTGATTGTAAACTAGGCGTTGTATTTTTTGGGCGGAATTTTGCGCAGGTTCTGGCGTTTTATAAATATGAGAACTCAGGATGAAATCTAGTCTAAGTTAGTTTTATACATGAGGAACTAGAGTTGTTTTATTTTAGCACATATTTGTCCATTAAAAGTATGCGAGGCCGAGTACTTGAGCTTGAATCTGACACCGATGTCGATTTTTTAAAACAAAGCACCACACATAAGTGCAAACAGCTTAATGTTCCTGGCCATTAGAAAAATAGGTATGTACACTAAATGATCAATTAACAATTTGACAGATTCCTGTCTGAAAATATTTTAGAGTAACGTTACATCATGCATTGACAGTCGCTTAGCGATGACGTTGTGAACGTACAAATTGGCCGACAGATGGCAATGTTTATTTGTTTTACCCATAGGGTTTTACCATGGGGGTTTTACCCATAAGCTGTGGTTTTAAAAATCACCGTACATTTTAACAGATCAAATAAAAGACTTAGATATACACGTTATCGATACAAATGTTTTTTTTATATAAATACCGTATAGCTATAAAAAAAAATTCTTCTTCTTTATTTGGTGCCTCACCTTAGTGCAAGTCATTCAGGGTCAAAATAAACTGGTAGCTGCAGTTGTCAATCTTATCCGAGTGAGGGCGAGGGTGTGCGACCCGTGTTGCTACCAGGTTGCTACTTGTCGAGAAAGTTTTGTTCGCCCTTGGAGCGCATAATGTCGGGGAGGTCCTGTTCTTCAGCTGTCAGTTGAATTCTTCAAGATCGTTTGCGTGAAATCATGCTGTGCATTCTGACCAGAACTGCGGTGAGTGCTGGTTAATTATAGTGTGCAATACATTAGCCAACAAACGCATTGATTTTAACAGTTAATTGTTCGCCTGCCAAATGTCATTATTATGAACCAATAGCCGTGACGCCCATGCAGTTTTGATGTGCTGCGCGTTTGTTTTTGCATCGCCTTTAGATAGCTTGTCTTGGTCTGAAACATTGTAGCCTATGCATTTGTTGTGCGTCATTTTGCTGTTACGAGTAACGTTAGCATATCTAAAAACATGTCGAATGAATTATGCCATGTTGTGATGACCCACATAATTAGAGGACAAATCAGCAACATAATGTCTGAGTTGTTGTCAATATGCCACTGCATGCACTTTGACAACGTCGCCGATCAATATAACGAAATACTCTATTTAACCAAGGTTAGTTAGGCTACATGTTTGTAAACAGTGGAGTGAAAGGTCCTTTTGTAAAAGCACAGTTTTCAGTATCTCAAAAGAATATACATTTTCAAGGGATTTTTATAACCTTTTAGGGGGATTTTATATAAACACACACGCACAGAGCGAAGTTAAAATATTAATTAAATGAATGGCACAATAACTCGTTTGAGTACATATGACGCCTACCCTGCAGAATATTAAAATAATAACTAGTTTATTACTAATTAGCCTACTATAACAATTACATTACAGACTGTAGAACATCTTTAAATTATATTAATTTAAATTAATACATATGTCCATTGTTGTCATTATGTTAATAGAAAATGAGAAAAATCAAAGTGCTGCATGACAGAAAATACTAATATTTATTATGAATATTTTTTACTGTTATTATTTATTATTAGAGTTATTTGATTTGATTATTACACTATTATTATTTAAATGCATACTGCAATTACAGTTGCATGTTATGAAATCAGTGTTTAAATGTAACATTTTGAATAGAGAAATTTTAAATGACACTTTTCGATATATAATACTTTTATGAAACTGAAACTGCCAATAGGTGGCAGAAGGTCTTAATAAGTGAGTCAAAGAGTCATGCATTCATGCATTGATTCGTTCACACAGTCTGATTCATTTTCAATTCATTAACAACAACAACAAAAAAACACATTTTGAAGTTTGCAGGTGCAACTGTTCTGTTTTGTTTGTGAAAAAGAACCAAAAACATTCAAAATGGAGAATACTGTGTTTAAAATGTATTTAAATTATAAAACGTATTGTTTATTGAACTGTTTTAAAATTAATTTTCATTCGTGCTGATATTTGAGAAAACCACTTTTGTTTGTGCTATATTGCTTAAATATTGTAATATGAAAATATAAAAGACAAAAGACTGTTGTTACACTATTTTCTTCGAAATAAATAAAACAAAATATGGGAACACAGTTTATATTTTATACAGTCATATATTTTAATCAATCTTGGGGGATTTTCATTTTCGATCCTGCACAATGCTCTTTTTTTTTCTTTCTTTTTTTACACCAACACCTTACATGTTGTTAAATAGTTAGTTCTAGGTGTATGTGACTTTTGTCTTTAAGCCAAACGCAATCAAAGTTATATTAAACAATATCCTGTCTCTTCCCAGCTTTATAATGGGATTGAATGGTAAAAATAATGTAAAGCACGAAAAAGCACATCCATGCATCATAAAAGTAATCCATAAGGCTCTAGTGGGTTAATAAAGGCCTTCTGAAGCAAAGCCATGTGTTTTTGTAAGAAAAATATTTGTAACTTTACAAACTGTAATCACTGGTTTCCACTAACGACAAAGTCGAGTTCTGGCCTAATGGGACTTCCAAGGCCTAAAATGAACACTCAACAATATCCTGTATTTATTATTAAGATAATTATTATTATCTTATTAAAACAATTCAATGTATCATCTGTATTTTTAGGCAAGGACGGCCCTGGTGAAGCCCTGCCGACTGCCGACTCCAGTGCCGGTTGTTCAAATTTCTGACCGGACGCTGGTCCATCAGGAGAGTCTGCCGAAGCTGCCCGTTCCGCCATTGAAGCAGACATGCGCCCGGTATATGGCATCGCTCGAGCCGTTGATCTCCGAAGAGGAGATGGCACACACGCAGCAGCTCATGAAGGAGTTCCTCCAGCCCGGTGGCGTAGGAGAGAGACTGCAGAAGAGCCTCGAGCGCCGGGCACGCAAAACCGAAAACTGGGTGCGCTGGTGTGCCGTAATTCACTCTAACTGTATAATCACATCGTTTTTGAATAATTTGCTAGCTATAATCATTTACTTTTTAGCACTTTACTAAATACTTTTGATTTGTTTTTCAATACCACACATAAAATATTCTTACTTCCTGATAGATATTATTGTAACAAGTCTGTTGAAAAATCAAACACTACTAAAAATCTGTATTATCTGTAAACAGCAAAAGAAAAAAATGAGGCAATTAGGCAATCAGACAATGTGGAGGCAGCTCTCTGCCTGTTATGTCTGTGACATGTTTTTGGGATGAAAACTTGGCAAAAACAGGATCCAAAAGAGTACAATAACCACTGACAAAGTTAACTTAGTACTTTTAACACAGTACTTTTATTTTGCGTGTGTAATTAACTGCCAAATATTTCAATTATTCCCTCTGTATGATCCAGCTCTCTGACTGGTGGATGCAGTCAGCCTACCTGGACTCTCGAATGCCTGTGGCGATGTACACAAGCCCAGGGGTTGTTTTACCCAAAATGCACTTCCAAGACCGCCAGGGACAAAAGAGGTGGGTGACGACGGTTACTTTTATGTGGGCAATGAGACACAACTGAGCAAATTTAATTATTGAAAACTAATGTGTATTTGAAAGTTTGGGGTCAGTGGATTTAATTAATAATAATAATAATAATAATACTTTTATTCAGCCAGGATAGACTTATCAAAAGTGATAGTAAATAAATTTTGGAGAGGTCTTTAGTTTTGAGGTTTTAAGTTTCAAATCGACCTTTACACAGAGTTCTAGCTTTGCTTGGCTATTTTTGGCACATGTGCTACTCCTGGCATTGGACTGTTTTTTCAAAGGGATGTGCACTTTAGATTCGGCCATGTTCCACTTTTAGATTTACCCTAATAGCTTTGCAATCAACACCTATAGTGACATTTCATAAAAAGGTATATATCTTTAAAGTATGTTTAGTGTGTAGTGTCAGGTTATATAAAACCATCATGAGAAATAAACATTACATGTGGTGTTTGTATGTTTACTTAACGTGTTGTCCTCTGTTACATGATATCCATACTCTGCTATTTATCTATAGTCTATATCTATATCTCTTTATATAAAGCTCTTTTTTTTAGATTTTTTTTAAGCTAAGAGTCTTTAGTGAAAATTAAAACTGTTTGTTAAACAAAATGTCTCTGAGAAATCAATCTTTTTGACCTGTATGCCTGTTTTTTCATGTTTTCACCTGTTCAGATTTATCAATTCCAGCATTCTCTTTTATAGATTTGCTGCTAAACTCATTGCTGGTGTTTTGGATTTCAAAAGTATGATTGATAAGTGAGTTTTTTTATTATTATTATTTTCTGAAGCAATTGGAAAATGTCCAAATGTATTAGTTTGTTTTAATCTACATTCTTTAATGTGTCATAGTCAAACATTGCCTGTGGAATATCTGGGTGGCAAGCCTTTGTGCATGGACCAGTATTACCAGGTGCTGTCTTCATGTCGGATCCCTGGACCCAAGAGGGACACTGTGGTGAACCACGCAACTGGAAATAACCCTCCTACACACATCACAGTGGTCCACAACTTTCAGGTGCTTTGCCACACTTCCAGGCTTCTTTCAAACACATTAAAGAGGACCTGTTTTGCTTTTGTACATTTTCAACTTTTTTTAATTTGTTATGTTGCTGTTTGATCATAAAAAAATGTCTGCAAAATTACAAAGCAAAAAGTTATCTCCAAAGCAGTAAGCTCTGTTTCTGAACTCTCTGAAACACCTCGATTGTAGTCTTGAGTTTTCTGCTGGAAACGCACATACCGTTTCCAGAAGATTTTTTATTTAAATTTTAATTTAAATATTCCTCATTTAAATAATTTCCGCCCAAGGCTTATATAAAATAAAGGGGATAAGGCCTGGTTGAGTTGCGTTAGTAACGTGTTGTCGTCATGTCCAAGGGACACAGTTTTTTTCCACCCTGGATCTAACACAGTTAATGTAAGGGGCGTTCAAAAACACTCTCAAAACGGTTTACCAACCAAAACACACTGACACACTCATTGTTCGTAGGTGTAAATGTGTAAAAATGATGTGATTGTGATTAAACAATAATAAAATAATATATTACAACATGAATGAATAAAATAAAACGAAAATACTACCAACATAAAGCATGCACTTTCTTAAAGTATTCTTAATCTTCTTAAACAAGCCTTAATTTTTCACTGCATGCTTGCTCTTATATGTCACAGCTTGTTGCAAAATAAAGATGAATGCAGGATCTAAACTCTACCAGTATCGTGTTTATTTAACATTTTAATCAGGGAACATGAAACCAGAATAGAACAACATAATGCGATGAGAACGTCTCAGGATACAACTGTAAAGTATGTTCCCTGAGAACAGGGAACGAGACAATACATCGAATGACGCTATGGGGAATGCCTCAGGCATGACAGGTGTCTGAAATCAAATATCAACTCACAGTAATCAGGTTGACTGGTGACAGCCCGAGCATCATCAACTTGAATGATGAGCGCGTCAATCTGGATGTATAAGAAGGGCGCCTTGAAACCGTGACAACATCCTATCGTCTGAAGGGACTGTTGCAGGCTGGCCCCGAGGCATTCTCAGGGAACATAGGTTACTGTTGTAACCTGAGACGTTCCCTTTCGAAGGAAATTCAACAATACGTCAAATGACGCTATGGGGAACGAAATACCCACTCCGCCATGCTGAGGGGAGTGCATGCCGAAAAGGCAGTGACAACTGTCAGAACCAGTAATTCCAAGGAACACTGAAACCACGCACCCTACGTTACATCGGGCTGTCAGTGACAGCACTCCCTACCGGTCATAGCCCAAGCTAATGAACCAAGAAAAAACAGAACGTACTAACGTGGGTAAATCTGGGCCAGTTCAAAGGCTTTAGGACCACAACTTCAAAATAGAAGGGGTCCCTTCTAGGGAGTGTGGCTAGGGGGCCAAAGGGCCAGTCACTATTCAGGAGAACACTCCTCCTGAAATGCCCCCAGGCTGGCCTGGTGATCTGCAGTTAGACACACAGTCTGGCCATAGCCTGGCCGTCCAAGACAGAGCCTCTGGAAATTTCCTAGGAAGGCATACAAAAACTGAAGGCCTGCGAAGCTGGCAGAAACCATAGAGTTTCGGATCACAGAGATGGGATCCTTCGGAGAGTGTGACTTAACCTCAGAACAACGGGAATCGTTCACTCAATCCACGAGTTTCCACCCAGTGCTTGCTGTTGAGCACTGAGGAAGTAAGAGAGGGATCAAAATCAGGAAGGTCAATGAGACCTAAGACCTGATGACCCCCTGTGTGGGGAGCTCTGAAACATGAGGGCTCATGTCAGGAAGGCCGTACATTGTGCGGCCTGAAACCCAACGACCACAGCATTTGGAAGCTCATCCTTCAGGAAAGCCAGAGGCCAGACCCACAATGTGGGGCGACCTTCGAAAAAGGTTGTGGGAGATAGCTTGAACAAGGGAAGTGCCTGTCGTAATGTATTGCGACAAAAGACACATCTAGAGTGGGGCCCAAATTGAAGAACCGGAGTCTGAGCCACAAAAGAAGGGACCGAAGCATACCGCTCGTGACCCTCACCATAATAAATGGATTTTAGAAAGTACACATAATAATAATAATAATAATGAATTTTATTTGTAATGCACTTTACACATGATGAACATGTCTCAAAGTGCTACAAGTGTACAGATAAAAGCAATAAGAATAGATATAAAAACATGCAATGACAGAATTAAGACAACACACTTAAGAACAGTCAGTTAACAACAAAAGCAAAATATATTTTAAGAAAATGCAGTTAAAAATAAGTGGGTCTTTAGTTTATTTTTAAAAACCTCTATAGACTGTGGCGCTCTCAGGTGATTAGGTAGAGCGTTCCAAATTCGAGGTGCAGCTACCTGGAAGGCCCTATCTCTTGTCATGTGACTTACCACAATAACAGGTGAAGTATGGGTTTGTGTAGTTCACTCTGAATTCAGGAAGGCCTATTGAGGCCTGTAACCTGGCGACCACAGTGTGTGGGAGCTCATGACCAGGAAGGCCTGGTAAGGCCTGTAACCTGGCGACCACAGTATATGGGAGCTCATAACCATGAAGTTCTAGTGAGGCCTATAACCTGGCGACCACAATATGTGGGAGCTCATACCCAGGAAGGCCTGGTAAGGCCTGTAACCTGGCGACCACATCGGGTGGGAGCTCGTACTCAGGAAGGTCAGTAAGACCCAGCCTTGTGACCACAACCTGTGGGAGCTTACTTTCAGGAAGACCTGATAAGGCCTGTACCTGAAAAACCACACCAAGTGGGAGCTACTTCCAGAAGTTAGCTCTTAAGAACTCTTAAAGTGGGACCCGAGGAAAGACCAGGGTCTGAGCCACATAAGAAGGGACCGAAGCATACCGCGCGTGACCCTCACCATAAGAAATGGATTTTAGAAAGTAAACAAGACTTCCGTTGTGTAACTTACCACAATAATAGGTGAAGTATGGTTTCTTGTACTTCACTCTGAATTTAGGAAGGCCTGGTGAGGCCTGTAACCCAGCAACCACAATCTGTGGGAGCTCATAACCAGGAAGGCCTGTTGAGGCCTGTAACCTGGCGACCACAGTGTGTGGGAGCTCATGACCAGGAAGGCCTGGTAAGGCCTGTAACCTGGCGACCACATCGGGTGGGAGCTCGTACTCAGGAAGGTCTGTGAGACCCAGCCTGGTGACCACAACCTGTGGGAGCTTACTCCACAAAGTGGAAGTTAGCAAGAGAAGGGCGTCCTCGTAGCTTACTTAAGCGACAGAACGCCTCTTAAAGTGGGACCCGAGGAAAAACCAGGGTCTGAGCCACGAAAGAAGGGACCGAAGCATACCGCGCGAGACCCTTACCATAAGAAATGGATTTTAGAAAGTACACATGATATCTCGTTGTGTGACTTACCACAATAATAGGTGAAGTATGATTCCTGATATGTAACCTAATATGTGAAGACTCACAACTACACCTTAGCAACCACGATAAGTGGGGTTTTCACATTCAGGAAGGCCTGGTAAAGCCTGCAACCTGACATTTGACAACTCACAACCAGGAAGGCCAATGAAGCCTGAAGCCTGGTGACCACAGAGTGGGAGCAAAAGTGCTAAGGAAAGGTGGTGTTTTTATTTAGGAGGAACGGTGGTGAGGCTGTAGTCTGGCTACCACAGCATGTGGGAGCTCACATTCAGGAAGGCCGGGTGAGGCCTGTAACCTGACATGTAGAAGCCCATCACCAAGAAGGCCTGATAAGGCCTGTAACCTGGTGACCACAGTATGTGGGAGCTCATAATCAGGAAGGCCTGGTGAGGCCTGTAACCTGACGACCACAGTATGTGGGAGCTCATAACAAGGAATGCCTGGTGAGGCCTGTCACCTGGCGACTACAGTATGTGGGGGCTCATAACCAGGAAGGCCTGATAAGGCCTATAACCCGGCGACCACCGTATGTGGGAGCTCTCCGCATGTGGGAGCTTAACAGAATGTGTGAGCTCATAACCAAGAAGACCCGTTTGAGGTCTGTAACCTGGCAACCACAGTATGTGGGAGCTTATAACCAGGAAGGCCTGGTGAGGCCTGTAACCCAGGGACCACAATATGTGGGAGCTTGTAACCAGGAAGGCCTAGTGAGGCCTATAACCTGGCGTCCACAGTATATGAGAGCTCATAATCAGGAAGGCCGGAAGAGGCCTGTAACCTGATGGGTACCGCATGTGGGAGCTCAACAGAATGTGTGAGCTCATATCCAAGAAGGCCCATTTGAGGCCTGTAACCTGGCGACCACAGTATGTGGGAGCTTATAACCAGGAAGGCCTGGTGAGGCCTGTAACCCAGCGACCAAAATATGTGGGAGCTCGTAACCAGGAAGGCCTGTTGAGGCCTGTAACCTGGCGACCACAGTATGTGGGAGCTCATGACCAGGAAGACCTGGTGAGGCCTGTAACCTGGCAACCACAATATTTGGTAGCTCACCTTTAGGAAGGCCGGATGAGGCCTGTAACCTGATTGGTACAATATGTGGGAGCTTAACAGTATGAGTAAGCTCATAACCAGGAAGGCCTGGTGAGGCTTATAACCCGGCGACCACAGTATATGGGAGCTCATAACCAGAAAGGCCTGGTGAGGCCTGTAACCTGATGACCACAGTGTGTGGGAACTCATAACCAGGAAGGCCCCTTTGAGGCCTGTAACCTAGCGACCACAATGTGTGGGAGCTCATACCCAGGAAGTCCTGATAATCTGGTTCAGATGCCACGTCCACTTCCCTCGAGAAGTGAAACTGTCGAGAGCAGAGAGTTCTGATAGGAAAACTTTCACAGTTCGCGCAGAAAACTCCCCCGAGAGCTTCCCGCACATGCTCTTCTCCCAGGCAGAACACGCACAGATCGTGTGAATCCTCCGGTGTCAAATATCTGGACACAGGTCGGCACACTCGCGAAAAGTGTTTCTCCGTGTCTCTGCACGCTTAATCGCTGATACTATCAAACAGAAAAACAGTCCCTGAAGACGAAAAGGATATTGTCACGGTTTCAAGGCGCCCTTCTTATACATCCAGATTGATGCGCTCATCATTCAAGCTGATGATGCACAGGCTGTCGCCGGTCAACCTGATTACTGCTTGATATTTGATAGTTGATATTTGATTTCAGACACCTGTCACGCCTGAGGCATTCCCCATAGCGTCATTTGACGTATTGTTGAGTTCCCTTCGAAAGGGAACTGACAAAGAACTGAAGGAAACACGGGTTTAAATTCACAGAACAAACCAATCAACCAAATGGACAACATGTGTAAATAATAATCAGACAATGAATAACCAAGACCCCAGATCAAGGAGGCACAACCTTGCACTTCATTATCTTTACAAAAAAGTCCAACAGAGGCAGGTGGGAGACAGCTTAGGTGGAGGGATGCAGAGTTCCAGAGTACGTGGGACAGGGGTCAAGGTGGAGACAAAGACGGGAGGAGACAGAGGGAAACCCCTTGCAGGAGGGCCAGGATGCAAGCCCATGCCGGACTCAAGTGAGGGAGGAGCCATGGTAGAGGCTTAGCAGCAGAAACCAGTGAGCCGAGGGACAAAGATGGAGCTGGCCAGGTTGGAGCTGGAGGAACCGGGAGACACAATATGTCAGTGACAAGCAACTGAGGTGGAGCCAGGACTGAGGCAAAGGCGGAGTGACCGATGATCAAGGCAGAGCTGGAGGGAAGGAGGAGCCTGACGGAGCCGTAGGGCTGGACAGACCGAGGTGGAGTGAGTCACAAGTTGACACTCCAGGACTTGACTGGTGAACACAAAGCCCAAGGCAAATCCAGGCAGAGAAAAAGAGCCAGCATGGGAGGAGCTGAAGGACTGAGATGAGACTGTGCAGGTTGGACTGATGGAGTGGAAAGTGCAGGCAAGGGTTTCAGAGAGGAACGACCCTCTTGGCCGACTTGGAATAGGCAAACGTTTTCTCTTGGCTGGAGGTGGGAGTGGGAGGCAGGGTGGTAACACAGACTTGATTTTAGGTGACAAAACAGGTTCAGTGCAGGGTGACAAAATGGGCAGGATATACTTGCTCTCCCACAGTAGAGGACCTCACCTCATCCCCTCGAACTCAAAATCTCATCAAAATTCCGTCAGGTACGGACGACTCAATCTCCTGATCCTTGGACGGTCCTTAGCTCAGTTTCTTTCCTCACTGGCAGTGGTATCGTTGTGAGCTCTGGCTCCACATCCGCGGTGGGCTACGGCGCATCTGTCACCAGTGTTAATGCCTGCAACTGGCACTCTCTTTTCCTCCTCACTCTCGCAGATGGTGAAGGGGGAACCTTGGTGGAGGAGTACCCATTCTACACACTCCATAAAGGTCCCTAGAGGTCCGTCTCCATTCAAGAGCACTCTTATCTCAGTGTTCAAGCTGGATCAGAAAATCACACACAGGCGGTTGTCATCATAGTGGGCATGGTGGTAAAGGTCCAAAAATGCCTGTCTGTGCCTATCTAGGGACTGCAAGGAGAAGAAGGATACGCAGCTATTTATCTGCTGCTGGATCCCAGTTCTTCTGTCACAGCTATCAGACCTATGACCAGATTCGTCTCCATACTGGCGTGTTGAATCCAATCTTCAATAACCAAGAAAATTAACACCGGAAACTGAACTAAATGTGCAAAACCTACCCATGCATACAAAGTACACAGAAACACAGACTATCCCTTATATCATAGTTATGTGACACGGGTCAGCAAAATATGCCTGGGGTGTTTTGAGTTTTGACATAAACATTAGAAAAAATACTAAAAACATATGAGAGTGTTGCAGAAACTTGTGTTTTGTATTTATATCATTTTAATATTGATATTAAAAGAACTGATACCAAATTATTAGTTTGTGACGAATGATACAGTAGATTGATACTACAGTATCAATGTGCTTACTGACAGACTGGGAGGAGAGACTTTGTAAAAGAGCACCATAAATCATATTGACCCCAAACATTTGAATAGTAGTGTTCAGTATATTTTTCTGATTTTTATTTTTGACAAATTAATCTTTTTTTTTTATGTTTCTACATATTTGAGCTTTGGGTTTGAAGCTTTGGTATTTGCCAGTGACAATAAAGTCCATTTTGTTTGCAGGTGATATCCAGTGAGAAAAAATGAATAAAGAGAAATATGTTTTCTTTCCATTTCTTTCTCTATCTCAAATACTGTCTGTTTCTCTGTATTCCTCAGTTCTTTGTTCTGGATGTGTACAACAGTGATGGTTCACCACTTACCGTAGATCAGATCTATGTTCAGCTGGAAAAGATCTGGAACACTTCCCTTCAGACCAATAAAGAACCAGTTGGCATCCTGACTTCCAACCACCGTAACACCTGGGGCAAGGCCTACAACAACCTGATCAAGGGTGAGTTGAATGGAAAGCAACATTTGATAGAGCCTTTTTATGTCAATGGGAACAAACTAGGCAAAAAAACCCCCTCATATTTCTTGCAGATTATTTTATACAAAAACGTAGTTATCAAAAAATGATTTCGGTAAGTTATCACTGTTAATAATTATCAAGTTTCATATTTAAAATTAATATCATTATTTAAAATGGCAATTAATCCTATTTATTAATAAGTATATAAATAATCTTAACATGCTATTTTTTCAAAATACATTTTAAGGTATTTTTTTTCTCAAATTTGCATAATTTACACAACTGAAATTTCAAAAGGGATTGTGCCATTCTGAATAGTCAGTGAACCCTGCTTCATTTTTTTCCACTTTAGAGCTCACATTAATTATTCAGTTATGATTAATTAACTATAATTATGCATTATGTTGGTTGGTGGACATGGCGTTTATTTTTTCCTATTTTGCCACTCATATTTACACTGTTCCAGACAAGACAAATAAGGATTCCGTACGGGCAATCCAGAAGAGCATCTTCACAGTGTGTCTTGATGCTCCAAAGCCAAGCGTGTCAGATATGATGTACCATAACAAGGTGGCTGCTCAAATGCTTCATGGCGGAGGCAGTCGCTGGAACAGTGGAAACCGCTGGTTTGACAAAACGCTGCAGGTTACTATCTGTCCACAAAGCTCAAAGAGTAGATATGAATCCAGATGTATTGAGATATTCTTCTTTACATGCACTCTCTTCTGTTTTCCACAGTTCATAATTGGGGAGGATGGATCGTGTGGACTCACCTATGAACATGCTGCAGCTGAGGGACCTCCCATTGTTTTCCTCGTGGACCATGTTGTTGACTATATGTAAGGACATGACATCAAAGGAATTTTTGAACAAGAAATATACACTACTGTTCAAAAGTTTAGGGTTGGTATGATTTTTTTTAATGGAAGAAGTCTCTTCTGCTCACCAATGCTGCCTTTATTTGATTAAAAATAATAGTAATATTGCACAATATTATTACAATTTAAAATAACTGTTTTCTATTTAAATATATTTTAAAAAGTAAGTAATTCCTTTGATGCAAAGCTTAATTTTCAGCATCATTACTCTTGTCTTCAGCGTCACAAGATTCTTCAGAAATCATTCTTCTATTATGCTGATTTGCTGCTATCAATGTTGAAAACAGTTCATATTTATGTGGAAACTATTATACATCTTTAGAATACTTAGAACATTTAAAAAAACAATATTTATTTAAAATAGAAATCTTTTGTAACATTATTGACCACAACTGTTGAAATGTATTAACTGTATGTAAATGTATTAACCAACAGATATGCACTAATACTGATAAGCCGGTAATTGTTTTCGCAGATCACAGATAAATGACTAATATTCAAATTTTACTCTTCTCTACATCACAACATTATAAGAGTATTAAAATGGATGTTCATTTGAGATTTGCTAAAGATTGCATTTAACGGTTGTTAACATTGCTAAGCATTATATGATGGCAGTGGTAATCTATTAACAAGGAAATGAGCATGCACATTCATTTATCGGCAAGTACCAATAAATAAAAATTCTCTAATATTGGCCTCTAACCAATATAGTATTGTGCATCCCTAAACATAAGGCACTGAATAGGTTTGATCATGTTGAGTTGTTGCTTTTTTTGTGAAAAAGTATTGCTGTTTAAAAAGTTTATAGATGAAATGTTATGCAACATGTATGTAACAGGAGGAGAAATGAGATGGTACGAACTCCCATGATTCCACTACCTATGCCACAAAAGCTTCGATTCAACATCACACCAGAAATCAAGAAGGACATTGAAAAAGCCAAACAGAACATGAACATGTGAGGACATTTCAAACTGATATAATGGTCTTTGAATCAGTACCTATAATAAATAAATATTAAATCATGTACTTCCTTCATCCTCTTACATCCCATGTATAGAATGGTGCATGAACTGGACGTTCGAGTGCTTAACTTCTCACACTATGGAAGAAAATTCCCAAAGTCTCATAAATTGAGTCCTGATGCATTCATCCAAATGGCTCTGCAGTTAGCATACTACAGGTAAGTTTCAAACCCTAGTGCTGAATATTTGTTCTCTGACCAACGGTCTCTAAAAATTCCTGAAAACCTGAAGTCCTTTTGTGTTTTTACATCCCAATGGCTTCTCTCACTTCATTTCCTAGGTTGCATGCATGCCATTTATGCCACATTTCTTCTTGTCAGGATCTTTAAAAGGTCAAGTATGTAATTTTTTTATGATCAAATCCTTTCTTCTAGCAAGTCAGTCATTTGTAGGGTTGCGTTTAAGTTTAAGTCCTTTTTAATGCCTTTTCCACGCTAACTTCCCTCCGTCTCGTTCATTTGGATATATACGTCATTGCTCATTGCGTGAACAGGGTTAGTTCACCCAATAATGAAAATTAAGTCATTAATTACTCACCCCCATGCTGTACCAACCCAGTAAGACCTTCGTTCGTCTTCGGAACACAGATGAAGATATTTTTGATTAAATCTGAAAGGTGGATCAGTCCTACATAGAATGCCTAAGGGACTGGCTCTTGACGGCCCAGAAAGTCATTAAAGAAAATGTTTAAATATTCCATGTGCCTACAGTGGCTCAACTATAAGTTTATCAAGCGACGAGAATACTTTTTGTGCGAAAAAAACATAAATAATAACTTTATTAGACTATTCCATTACTTCCTTGTGGGCCTTGAGACGAGAATTGAAGAGATTTCCAGAACGCATGCACGAGAACTGAGATGAGGATGTTCTTCTTCGACTACTTCTTGTTACCGGCTGCTCACCGCTTAGGAGTATTACCGCCACCTACCGTATAAGATGACGTGCCGGAAGCTCAAAACTTTCTGTTTACAAGCAGAGGAAGACTCACTCTGTACATACGCTTTTCAATTTTCCGCACTATGGACCATTTCACAAGATGTAAACAAGACTGGTCCAGAAGCACTTCCTGTTTCAGTTTGTAACCGTTTTCTTTATTTCACATGTAAAGAAAACATCTTAAAGATGTTTGTTTAACTTTTTGAATCAGTTTATATGTTCTGGTTGTATTTTATCCCAGCTTTTATGTAGTGTTAAAAAACTGAAACAGGAAGTGCTTCTGGACCAGTGTTGTTTACATCTTGTGAAATGGTCTATAAGGTGCAATTAAAAGCCTTTAATCTTCTCAAAAAACGACAGTGCGCCTTATAATCCGGAGCGCCTTATATATGGATAAATTAGTTAACAACGCGTTATTAAATTCGCCCGTGAACTCGCGCTCGTGTCCATCGTCTGCCCGCTTTGTCACACGCCCAGTTCTACTTATTCTCCCTCAGGTTATGTGTGTCTCCCGCTCACGAGCGCTCACTCTTAACAGACACACGAACAGACACACTGTCCCCGGCGGCGCTGCTCGCACTTCACAGAATGTCCAAAAAGCACTCTCCGTTCACAGTAACCGGGTCATCTCATTCAAAACAGCCAGCCGTTGCTGTCAGCGAGCCGCCACACATTGAATACTCATATGAGTCAGGCTGCGAATGTAAGTTCCGTGCCCGCCCCAGCGTGCTCACACTAATAAACGCCTCACCTCCGACGCCGCGCACTCGCTACATTCCCAGCACATCTAGTGGATGCATAACGCAAACCCAGTCAAACGTTTGACTGCAGTATCTTATGCGCCTCATAATCCGGCGCGCCCTATATATGAAAAATGTTCTAAAATAGATCATTCGTTGAAGGTGCGCCTTATAATCCGGTGCGCCTTAAAGTGCGGAAAATACGGTTAATGTGCTGTAGGTCTCGCTATATTATATACAATGGTTAAAAAGTGTGCATTTCCAGGATGTCCGAATCGTGAGAAACCAACCAGAGAACGTAAAAGTGCTTCAATGTTGCAAAATGAACGGCTTACCTTTTTCACTTTCCCATTTAATGATCTTGAGCGACTGAAGCTATGGCTGCTGGCTCTTCAGCGGGATGTTAAGGCTGAATCCCAATTCACCCCTTGGCCCTACCCCTTGTTTTTGAGTGTAACCCTTGGCTACTGAGAAACTGAGAAAGGGTTCGAGTGTAACCCTTGGCTACCTTGGAAACTGAGATTAAAAATCTCAGTTTCGAGGGCTATGTAGCCCTACCCCTTCGCCCTACCCCTCGATCTCAACAAGAATCGGGACACCTTACCCCTAGACGTGAACGCGCATAACGGAGGGGTAGGGCCAAGGGGGTAGGGGCAAGGGGTGAATTCGGATTGATTGGGATTGAATTGGGATAAAGGGGCTTTCACACAGAACGCGGTATGCGATGCGAAGACGTTTTGTTGCTGCGTCGACAAAAGCGCAAGCGCAGCGGTGCGCACCATTGACTTGCTCGCGCGCACGCCGCGGTCAAAGTTCAAAATAGTTTAACTTTTGCCACTGCGCTCTGTGACGATTATCAGCGCGGCCAATAGAAACGGACATGGAAACAAACACGGAAAACAAAATGGATGAACAGCTTGTACTGTCTGAATTTCCTGAGCTGTACGATACAATTTTGACATCGTCAGAAAAGCTGTGTCATGGAGACATATCTCCATTCAAGTTGGCTTGTCAGGTGTGTTTTAAAGGTGCCCTCTGGGATTTAAAATCAAATCATACAACATATTCCATACCACGCGCTCTCTCATGTCTTCAAACAACATGGGCGAGCGCTGTTTTGCTCTGTCTCCCTCGCGCATATTAATCAAATCAATTGACACGATAGTAAAAGGTTGGAAGACCGCAGTTTCACGTGGAGCATTTGAAGATTTTTACAGATTAGAGACTAAATGAACAACATCTCAATACTAAATTATAAGGGCCATCTCATAGACAAGCCGGTGCATTTCGACGATATGGGAAAATTAAAGCCCAGGCTATTATTTCTAGTTTTATAATATTCGATTTGTTTATATTACATTTTTATCATTAGTTTTAATTAATTTGACAGACAGCATTCCCTGATGTGGACCAAGCTAGCGCCTTTCAGAGCTGCCAACTCTCACAACACTTTTCACACACTCTCACGCCACACATCAATTCTGTCATGCACAGAAAAGGACACGGAGACCGATGTCAGCTCTCAGATTCTGTTCATTTTATTACGCAATTCAAACAATAAATACAGTATTGGCGCTTTACACGACAGATCCCTAGCGCACGTGAACCGATCATCTCTACTAGCTAATGGTAAAAGAACACGAACACTGTTGAAAGATACAGTATGCTACAACTTACCAAAATGTATTCCTCATGCATAATATCGACCAATCATTTTTTTTAACTCTTCCCTGAACTGAAATGTAGTAGTGGGCTGTATTTTACACACGACTGACGTCAGGTTCAAGTACACACACAAGCTGGCGCGAGCGCGACTCACTCGTGTACTGCAGTTTGGCTGGTGGTAACGTTGCCCGCCCGCATACCGCCTCCCATGGTCGAAACTGGTATTACGACACCTGCCGGGCCGGGGCTAGTAATTTAGCATGCTAATTCAGGTTAATATCTCGGCAGCACTATTACTTGTCAGTTTTTTAATGACATCATCAACCTTATTTCTTCTCAATCTTTTGATGCGTGTAGCTCATTTTTGGGATATTTTAACCTCAATTTTTACAGATGGCACCTTTAATATATCTATAATTTCTTCATTTGTTATTTTTTAAATAAATGTTTTATTCTAAAAAAGAACTGAGCTCATCGTGTGTTGATTTCGATGTTATATGTGTACACGCACACACATATATACATATATATATATAATATCATACGGTATAGCGAAGCGCAAATCACGTTGTATCTGAAGGGCAACGCTCAACCCAGCGTCCAGCGCAGCGCATACCGCATCCTGTGTGAAAGCCCCTTAAGTGTCTAATTGAAAAGCGTATGTACAGCGTGCATCTTCCTCTGCTTGTCAACAGAAAGTTTTGCGCTTCCGGCACGTCATCTTATACGGTAGGTGGCGGTAATACTCCTAAGCGGTGAGCAGCCGGTAACAAGAAGTAGTCGAAGAAGAACGTCCTCATCTCAGTTCTCGCGCATGCGTTCTGGAAATCTCTTCAATTCTCGTCTCAAGGCCCACAAGGAAGTAATGGAATAGTCTAATAGTCTTTCGCACAAAAAGTAGTCTCGTCGCTTGATAAACGTATAGTTGAGCCGCTGTAGGCACATGGAATATTTAAACATTTTCTTTAATGACTTTATGGGCCGTCAAGTTTCATTCCCTTAGGCATTCTATGTAGGACTGATCCACCTCTCAGATTTATTCAAAAATATCTTCATTTGTGTTCCGAAGATGAACGAAGGTCTTACGGGGTTGGTACAGCATGGGGGTGAGTAATTAATGACTTAATTTTCATTTTTGCGTGAACTAACCCTTTAAGCCTTTGATCTCTTTTCGGTAAATTAAGTGCGAAGCACTTCGAGTTGCTTTGGTGATGATTTGTTGTTGATTTGTGGTCTACGGAGCTGCCTGAAGTGTACAAATAAGAAAACTCGCTCCCTCTCCCTCCAAATAAACATGACGTGACGAAGATGAACGCAGCTTCTGGCTCAAACAGTGGCATGAATGTAGGGTGCGACTAAATATATAGGTATCTCGATAGCCGTGTGGAAACAACATTTTTGAAATTCTGTTTAGTGCCACTAGTGGCCTCTAAATTACATACTTTACCTTTAAAACATGCAATGCATTCTGGAAGTGGAGAGTTGCATAAAATGACCACATTTGCATGCTTTCACACAATAATTAATTGCATGTGGATAAATGTTATTTATTTTATTTTATTTATTTATTTATTTAAAAGGGACAATGCATATTGATAAACATTTCAGTAATGTAAATATGCCAGAATTAGCCCCAGGGCTACTTTCCATCTGCAGGTCATCACAAAATAACAAATAACAAAACTAACATTTAAGTTTAAATAGAATACTACACAGTTTAAAGAACACCTTAAAATTCAGTAACAATTACAAAAGACACCACTGTTTTCAGACAAATTATACATATACAGTAAAGTGCTATTCTATGTATACATGCTGGAATTACAATAAATACTAAATCTGGTTTAATATACATACAAATGCTTACACGATACTACAGTGTTCTTTATTTATATACCTCGATTTTAAAGAAGAGAGAGAAAAAAAACAGAAAGAAAGGAAAATTGTTTAATGGTCACAATTTTGATGTGTCTTGAGCCATTGTTTAAGTTGATTCTTAAATCTGGGAAATGTCGGACATTCTCTAATGACAAGTGGTAATTTGTTCCAAATCTCTGACCCCTTAATTGACAGCACATATTGTCCAAATGTAGTACGCCTGTACGGCACCACACAATCACCCCTGATGGAAGCCCTGGTGACACTTCTTCCCTCTCTCTGTTTTTTTAGTGTAATATATTCGCTCAGTGGGGGTGGGGCAAGTCCGTGCAGGATCTTATAAACAGCACAGGCATATTTAAGCTTTAGAAAATTTTCAAAACTTAGTAGGTTATATTTCTGTAATATTAAGCAGTGGTGATGTGAAAACGGTTTTCTGTCAAATTTTTTTAAGGCTCTTTTGAAAAGTGACTCAATTGGTTTAAGCGTTGTGGCATTTGTGAGTGACCAATTTAAAAAACAATATTCAATGTGCGAGAAAATCATAGAATGAAGAATTGTGTGTGAATTAAAGTGTGGCAGGGTCTTTATGGTCTTCAGGACTCAAAGGCCTGGTTTCTCACACAGGGCTTAGATAAAGCCAGGATTAGGCCTTAGTTCAGTTAGGGCATTTAAGTAGCTTTTATAAACATGCTGTAGAAAAAACATTACTGTTGTGCATCTTGAGACACAACAATGGCACTGACATATTTTAAGGTCATTGCAGGTTGCTTTAAGTTAAATCAGGTCAAACATGTATTTTAATTTGGGACTAGGCATGAGCCTTGTCTGTGAAAAAGTGCTAACTGGCCATTAATGCTACGAAATCATTTTTTATGTATTCACATAACCACACCAGCCCACTGATGATTGATCTCGTTCCTGTGTTAGGGTGTATCAGATGTGCTGTCCGACTTACGAGAGCGCCTCCTTACGCATGTTTAAACTGGGCAGAACGGAAGCCATTCGATCCACCACCACAGAATCGCTTCAGTTCACACAAGCCATGGATGACCCGTCAAAAAGCGTAAGAGTTTACATTTTAATATCATTCTCGTTTGTCACTCTTGATTAAGTTAATTTTTTATGTTATTATTGTTTCATTTTCATATTTGCAGAATGGTGAGAAAGCAGCACTGCTCGAGAAGGCAACCAAAGTCCACAGAGAGCACACACACATGGTGAGCGTCATTTGATCTTTAAACATTTAAACATCATGTTTGTCATGTTGTCAAGAATTCTCAATAAATATGATCTAAACTAATAAAAAATAAAATTTTGCCTCTCTTTTTGCCGCCTCCTGATCTCAGTTTGTGTTTCCTTTGTAATCAGGCCATCCATGGGCAGGGTATAGAGAGGCACATCCTGGGTTTAAAGATGGTGGCCATTGAGGATCTGACGTCTTTACCCGAGATCTTCATGGACACATCATTCGCTGTGTCTTCACATTTTAATCTCTTTACGAGTCAGGTTTGTAGCTGCTTAATAACATTTACATTTACATTTATTCATTTAACTGACGCTTTTATCCAAAGAGACTTACAATTGCTATATTTGTCAGAGGTTGCACACCTCTGGAGCAACTAGGGGTTAAGTGTCTTGTTCAGGGACACATTGGTGTCTCGCAGTTGATTCGAACCCGGGTCTCTCATACCAAAGGCATGTGTCTTATCCACTGTGCCATCACCACCCCTGATGAATAACAATCTGTACTCACAGAGTTTTGCTATTGATTTGAATTAGAATGAAATTCTTATGCCATCTCATGTTGGACTTTCTTCGACTTTTTGAATAATATCTTAAATCTTTAAATAAAATGAAAATCAGATGTTAAGTTCAAAAACCATAAATCCACAAAGTCACCTACAATGACAGTCAGATGAGATTCTGGTTGGTTTATTTCACGTTAAGCCCAAAACTCATCCGTTACTCATTAAGAGAATAGGGACAATTTTTCACGCCATTAAACTAGCAAAAGTGGATTTGGAAGTGCATTTGCACACTGCTACTTTAGACCATGCGCTTAGATAGTTAAAATAGGGCCCTTAGACTTCTATGTAAATGACCTCTGTTATTATTGGTTTACCTCTTTGCATGTGAAATAAGAGCAATGATTTCTTATGTCTTGTGGGTTTGCATAGCTGGCCTGCTTTACATTGTGTCAGGTTCACAAAACAACCCTGAATGTGTTTCTCAAACGGGTAACACCATGTCCTAACCAGACACATAGCCAAGGCAGTTGATAGCAGGACGAAACATACTGACTATTGTCCAACTTTTTAAATAAAATTAAAATGAGATGTTATGTTCAAAAATGACAAAAAACATCATAAAAGAATAAAAATTCTTTTAAAAATTAAAATAATATAAAAAATATATTTCACCAGGCTTGTTTTTTGTTTATTTTTGCTGCTGTACCTTTAAGACTTCTATATGCAAATGACCTCTGTTATTATTAGTGTCAGTAGCAAATTCTTAAAATATGAAAACATACAGGCTGTGTCTGTGAGTCAGAAGCACCAGAATGTACATGCAAAGATTGAATTGCCCCACTTTTTAGAATTAGCCTTTGTGCACAGCCGGCCTTGAACTGTCTGGAAACAGTCCTCCGAAAAATGGGCAGCACACAGTCGAATATTTTAGTTGTACTGTTCTGGAACAGTGTTGTAAATAAAGCTTAAGAACTTTTTTCTAATTGTGTCCTCTTTTGGAAGGCCAAACAGAGTTTGGCTTTCGCAAAGAATAACACAGCGTCTCCACAACATGGCGGCACCTGTGCAACAATAATACAGCAAGAATAAAAGTTATGCCTTCTTTATTTTTGGGTGTACTGTCCCTTTAAGAGCTTAAATGTTTTTTAAATGTATCTTATTGTGAAATTTAGCATTTTCATGTAAGCTGTGGTTGTATTATTTTCAGGTTGGATCAAAGACTGACTGTTTTATGTGTTTTGGACCCATGGTTCCTGATGGTTACGGTGTTTGCTACAACCCCATGGATGACCATATCAACTTTGTAATTACAGCCTTCAATAGCTGTGAAGAAACCAATGCTACTAAACTGTCCAGGTTTCTAGAGGATGCTCTTCTGGACATGAAGACTCTTCTGGAGCAGGTGTCTAAGTCCTAGTGAGTGATAACATTATTTAATGGTAAAAGAAACTCTCACAGGAGCCCTGAAACCTTTTCAGACTGCAGGCTTTTCCCACTTTCAGTATTATGAAACTGGGATGCATTAATGGCTCATATTAATATTCCACATGAGTGTGACGTGTGTCTTCATTATACAAAAACTATAAGAAAACCATTGTTAGGTTGGTTCCATTCAATATGTAAGCATTGTGACTATGTGGTGCTTTTAAAAATCTGTTTGGTTGAACAAAGCATGGGAAAACCTGTTTCCCATTTTTGCAGTATATTTTAATGATGCTAATGGCACAGAAAGTACACATTTCACTATCCAGGGTGACTACCAAGTGACTATGAATTAAGACTGCTACAAACTCAAACGGGGACTGAGACATGTTCATTCTGGTTTTACAGTTTCAATTGTAACAACTATATGTTGGGAAGGCTGGTTGCCCAGTTCATATCATGTAAAGCCCAAAGTATACTTCAGTTTTGTTTGTTTTTTTGCGTACGCTAGTATACAGTATGTGTACAGTGTGCATGAAATAAATTCCATCATTATATTACAATCAAAACACTTACTAAAAAAAGATTATATATAGATTATAGATACAGATATGTGAAGTGACCATTAGTCAAAATCAGGGAACCGTGAAAAAACGTGAATGTTTTGTTAAATTATTGAGATGTTTACTTCAAATCTCAGGGGGTATTTCAAGTAAATATTTTACTGTAGATCTTAGGGGTTCGGCTGATAAGTTTGGGAAGCACTGAAATGGACTATATACTTTGAATGACTATGTGTTTGTCTGTACACATATGCTAAGTGTAGGCATAAAAACAAAAACAAAATATACCTTGGGCTTTAAGGAGGTTCATGCTAGTTTCACAATTGCTAAGTACGACTGTTATTCTTCACCAAAACTCTCAGTAGGGCCACAGCCTGTTCTAAATCAAAATATCAGAAAATACATTTTATGATTGTTATTAATTTATTTGTGCTGTTAGATTTGGCACACATTATTGTCAACAGATTAACTCATGTTCATTACAATAAATATACAGAAGCACTTATATATAAACAGTAAATTGTATTATTTTTGTTTTTAACATTATATGACAAAACAAGACAGAATATATCTTTGATGAAATGCTAATAAATCCTCCTGTTCTGATTCTGGTGTGCTGAATTGGCTAAATTATGGTTGTTAAATGTTCCAAGGCTCTTTATGGACTAGAAACACTCTACACTGGTTCTTCTTCAGAAGGGTCAACGAACGAATACTCGGCCCTGAACATTCCCTTGATTTGCTGATACTCCCCGTGGAATTCCACTTCAGCCCTGCTTCCCGAGGAGCTCCACAGGAAGAGCCGTGTCCCTCTGAATATGGTCGTCTTTAAGGCATCCACGTCACGAATCTGGATAAACAAAAGAAAACAATAACACAGAACATCCGCAATGTCTACCAATCTTAGTGCTTGCATGACTACTTATTTTTACTAAATGCCGGCTCAGTATCTACAGTATCTTAGCAAATGACCCACAAAACACAGTGCGCCATTAGCTGTCTTTACTTTAGTGTTAAAAAACTGAAACAGGAAGTGTTTCTGGACCAGTGTTGTTTACATCTTGTGAAATGGTCTATAATGTGCTTTTTGAACAAAAACCGCTGAGTTACACTTTATTCCAACCCGTTTAGACTGATTACATCTTTTCCTTTGTTATGATTATGCTTACACATAACTGCTCAAAAGTTTTTTTAGTGTTTTTGTTATGTTCATCATCAATTTTTTCCCTTTGATGGCAAAGCTGAATTTTTAGCAGCCATTAATCCAGTTTTCACTACAATATAACTTTATTCAATACAGATTGTTTCAAAGCAGCTTTATATTAATACAATGTGACGTGATTTTTTAGAAATCATTCTAATATTTTTACTATTATCAATGCTGAAAACAGTTGTGCTGCTTAATATTTGTGTGGAAACCATGATATATTTTTTTTCAGGATTCCATGATAAAAGTGAAAAAGAACAGCATTTATTTGAAATAGAAATCTTTTTTAACAAATGTCTTTACTGTCACTTTTGACCAATTTAATGCTTAAGTATTCATCTTAAAAATCTTACTGACCCCAAACATTTGAACAATAGTGTATGTTTATATAAAAAAAATGGACACACAGTGACTTACCAGTATGTATGTTGAGTTTGTGTCAGTATTGTTGAGCACAGAAAGTGCTCTGATCTGAATCCTCAATGCTGATGGAGCATCAATGAACACGCGACAGCTCTGAGTGTTAGAGGGCGAGATGGCTGGACTCTTGATCGGATTCTCAATGAGCCCGGACGGAGAGAACATCTGAACGTCACACTCTTGAAGGAAGATATGTATTGTCTTTCAGATTATTTCATTTTGGCTTAATCTACACATCTACACAATCTACATTTTTATTGTTCACCCATTAATGAAAATTCTGTCATCATTTACTCAACATGTCTCATCAGTCACATTAACTAACTATTAACTATGACTTTTGCCTCAATAAACTCCTAATTACTGCTTATTTATAGTTAGTAAAGTAGTTAATGCGTAACTAAATACTAAACCAACTTTTTTAGTTAATGATCTGTAAGAATGGATCTTTATTAATACCAGTCATTGATTCGAGTAACTTTTTTGACATTTGTGTATAAAGTGATTGATAGAGTGTTTTAGCATCTATTTCGTCCCCTCTATCTCCGCTGGGGTCTGCCCAATTTTTCAGCATTTTTCAAATATTGCCAGTGGGTGGAGTCAGGCTCTGACCAGGGGTTTAGTTACCCTTTAAGTTCAGGTATTGGGTAGGATTAAAGAATGTATATGGTTTTGCAGAATAAGGCATTCATATGTGCTTTTTAAGTACTAATAAAAACAGCCAATATCCTAGTAATATGCATGCTAAAGCAACTAGTTAAAGGGTTAGTTCACCCAAAAATGAAAATTAAATCATTAATTACTCACCCCCATGTTGTACCAACCCCGTAAGACCTTCGTTCATCTTCGGAACACAAATGAAGATATTTTTGATTAAATCTGAGAGCTGTATACCACATAGACTTCCGGGAGTGGCTCAACTATACGTTTATCAAGCGACGAGAATACTTTTTGTGCGAAAAAGCAAACAAAAATAACGACTTTATTCGACTTTTCCTTTTCTTCCTTGTTGGCCTGAAACGAGACTTTCTTAGATTTCCACGACGCATGCGCGAGAATTGCGATCTCCTTACACTACTTCAGTTCAGTTCTCGCGCATGCGTCGTGGAAATCGTATGGAAGTCTCGTTTCAGGCCAACAAGGAAGAAAAGGAAAAGTCGAATAAAGTCGTTATTTTTGTTTGTTTTTTCGCACAAAACGTATTCTCGTCGCTTGATAAACTTATAGTTGAGCCACGGTAGTCACATGGAATATTTAAACATTTTCTTCATTGACTTTATGGGCCGTCAAGAGGCAGTCCCGGAAGTCTATGTGGTAGTTATACAGCTCTCAAATTTAATCAAAAATATCTTCATTTGTGTTCCGAAGATGAACGAAGGTCTTACGGGGTTGGTACAGCATGGGGGTGAGTAATTAATGACTTAATTTTCATTTTTGGGTGAACTAACCCTTTAATAGTAAGAAATGGACCCTAAACTAAAGTGTTACCGTCCAAACTCACTTCTGTAGAACAACTTTTGTTGTATGCAAAAGAGCAGCTTGGACATTCTGCTTGATACACAACCGATCAAAAGTATCATCTGTGGCGATTGGTCCACCACTGATCTCCTCCGTCAATGGATCTTTCTCAGGGTGGAAAGACTGACCTCCTGTGTGATGGAACCACCTCTGAGGTCATTCCAAGCAGTAACCAGATCAAGTCTGGTGCTCCCCAAGTCTACCAATACGGTATCGCTTCCTTTTACAGTACAGTACTTACAGTGTACTTACCTAGAAAATATTGGCTAATATAAGTTAAGTACATGGGTTAGGGCTAGGTTTAGAGGTAGGTTCAGGGTTAGGACCTAGTTATTACCCAGTAATTGTAATTACTATAATAAGTACATAGTATCTACATGGGTAACAGGACTGTAAAAGGAAGCGTTACCACCAATTCCTAGTCTGATGGTCCCAGAGGTCCACGATGCTTCCGTTAATGGCCACTGCTATTCTGTCTATGTGGGCCACACACTTGAGGTGGCAGCGTCCGCTTTAGAATGCTCTATATTCATCTGCTTTGTGTTTAGAATGACGCTTGTCTGATAACTTTGTGTATTTCTGTCTGGGAGAAGAGAGTGATGTTTAATGTCTTTTAATGATGTTTAATGTTTAATGTCTAAACACATTGTTCAAAAAAAGAATGCTCTATATTCCCTGTCACAGCCATAGAGGCCATTCATGAACTTCATATGCTTCATATCATGGTAACGGAGGCTGTCTCTGAACACTCTGTCATGGCTATTAAGGCTATTCAGGTCTCTGCTCCACCATGGCCTCCTTACTTCCCAGAGTCTTCTGATCTGCTGTGGTGCCTTGTGGTCAACTCCTCTGTCGGCTCTGTCTTGATGGTTCCCAACTCTACTGGCTCCACCATGGCTTCCTCATCCCCCTTGGACTTGTTCACTACTCCACGTTACATGGTCTCGTCCACTGCTCCACAGCCCAGCCAAGCCCACTACTGCTCCTCAGTCCAAGCCAACTTATATATGATGTTCACGTATTTTATTTTGAAGTTCTCATAGGCTGCATCCTAAAAATGAAAAATGCTTCAAGGTAGGAAGAAATCAAGGTAAGTCCGAATCCAAAGTTAGCTTCACTTCCTGCCTCCTGAGATACCTTCATCAGGTCAAATTTTGATGGCAGGATTGTATCGTTTGCTGCCTTTGATTATCCCACAATCCTGAACTTTGCATTCTGTGCCAGTTGAGCTAGAAATAACTTTTGCTGTCCTTTCTAGCAAAAACATTACTATTGTAGTAATTAAATATCCGCTTAAGTTTTCACCAAAGCTCTATTTTGCTGTAGATCATTAAACTGTTACACTGCCTCACAAGAAGTTTCCTGAGGTACCTTCATTCGCAAATGCTGCCGGCAAAGTCATTGCCTGATAAGGCCACAACAGAGCCCGTCTAACGGAGAGCCTTGGCACTTCTTATTAGCCCCGTTGTGCATCACCTTGGTTGCAGTTCCATTAGAATTCCACTGGAGGTGATCGCGGGCGAGTGCAGAATGAATGGGAGTCTATGGGGCTAAACGGCTAAATGTGTCTCTTTCACCTGCTTGTCGTTAAATTAACATAGATTTTATTGTTGATTCCGCAAGTTCAATATAGATTATAGGCGAATGAACGAGTACTTATGTCCTTTTGATTTCTTACAGGTTAGGCCATTGTTGGCCGGAACACGCTAGCATTCTGCTATTGTGTGACGTCATCACATTTTTGAACGGATTTTTAGAACAGATAAGTGAACTTAAAAATGCAATTTTCAGCTGAGTGTATTTTCTTAGCCCTCCCTTTTGAATGCAACTTTCAAATTACTTGACAAAAAAATTACATCCTGAGAAAAGTGGATTTCTGGGGATGAAACCCCATTGACTCCCATTCATTCTGCACTCGACCGCGAGCGATGACGTTTTACAAGTCCACAAGAACACAAGTACAGACAAGAAGGCATATTGAGAAACGGCCAAGATGTAAACAACACTGGTCCAGAAGCACTTCCTGTTTCAGTTTTTTAACACTACATAAAAGCTGGAATAAAATACAACCAACAGAACATTTAAAACTGAATCAAAAAGTTAAACAAACATCTTTAAGATGTTTTCTTTACATGTGAAATAAAGAAAACAGTTACAAACTGAAACAGGAAGTGTTTCTGGACCAGTGTTGTTTACATCTTGTGAAATGGTCTATATAGCCCTCATTTTTTCATTGTTCCTTATCTAGCTTTGACTTTGTACCCGCTGTTGGTGAGTTTTGTCAAGTTCTGTTTATGTCCAGTTTAAGGCCCCTGTGTTAGTTGTTTTTTTTTTTTGTATCAAGTTTATCATTTTTCAATAAAACTGCACTTGGGTTGGTATCTACTCGCCTTCAGTGGACCCCTGATTCAGCTGAATAGAAAGTTCATTAGAACAGGATTTATTTGTATAACTCCTTAAAGGTGCCAGAGAAAAAAGGAAGCCATTTTTGTTATGACATGAGAGTAAATGACGACAGATTTTTTGGATGTACTTTTTACAATAACATCTATAAATTACATGTGATGAATATATGAACATAATTATTGAACATAATTCATCAAATATGCTATATTTGTAATAACTCACCCCCATGAGGGCTTTTTTTGTTCTTTAAACTCTGATAAAATAGTACCACTCCGTTGCCAGGGGTCAGGCGGCTCTGACGCACCAACAGAACATTTGATCGTGATTTCAGCGTTTTACCAGTCGTCCTCTCACAGAGGCGCATCAGGATGAGTCTATCATACAGGGCGATATTCTCCCCTGAAAAATTACACAAAAATACACACAATTCACCATACTAGTACTGCATCAGATTCCCATGTCTGGACTCAATTTAACCTCAGTACTTACTTTGCCGGCAATTAAGAGTGCTGGATACTATTTTGATTTGAATAACCTCATCAAGAGGTCGACCAATAGCAAATATACACCTCGTCTGAGTGACATTGCGTAGATCAATAGTTCCTGAGTCTTGAAGGAGAAGTTGCCCACAGAAACCTGAAACCAGAATAGATGATTTATTCCTCACAGCTTTTTAAAATCTTTCCTTCAGTCTATTCACATAACAATCCATAAAATTAAAGAGCCAAACAGGAAATACTCTTAATATACATTTATAAATCCTAAATATAAAATTATAATTCTGAATATTTAAATGTAAACATGTATATGTACATTTTGTCTGAATTTATAGGTCCCAATATATATAAATGTATATGCAATTATAAGTAGTACATGTAGTTCATTAATATTACTCAGTACTTATTTGTGTAATTATAGTGACAATGTTGCCTCAAAATTATTTAATGTTGCCTTATTTATTATCAAATATTACAGACTTTAGGAATTTGTAAAAAAAAAGAATTGTACAATATGCCCCTTTAGACACTGACAGACTGACAGTCTTATATGGACCTATAGACACTAGCCACCTAACTGGTCTGTGGTGGTTCTGTTGGCATGCTCATGGTGCTTTCCATCAAGTCCACCGTAGGTACAATGGCTGAAAAACTCTTCTTCATCTTCTTAATTTGGACAGCTGGACCTATTGTGGTTCTCGTGTGCACTTTTGGAGTTCCCCACATCCCATCTCCTTTCTGGTGCTCTGATTGGATGTGAGTGCCTTTGGGCTGGGCTGAAGAACAGTCAGGGCTATAGCAGGCCTGGATGGTGATGGGTTTTGGCAAGTGGAGGCAAAGAAAGGGACTAACAGGAAGAGGACTGGATGGGCCCATACAGGACACGGTCCGAGACTGGATCCCATAACCACATGAGACAGAACACTATGAAAGAGCAGAAGGAAAATGAGGGATGGAGGAGCATTGACTTTATGTTTAGATTATTCTAGAATATCCAAACTCTACATCCATAAAATGGGACTTTGGCAGTGGATTGTTAGAGCCCTATCATACACCCGGAGCAATGCAGTGCCAGGCATGACGCAAGTGTTTTTTGCTAGTTTCAGCCCGACGCAGTTATCATTTTCACAATAGCAAATGCATTTGTGAGCCCATGGGCTGCTAGTCTCAAAATGAGGTGTGTTTGGGCACATTTTTTGGTGTGTTCCTCAATTTTGAGGCAACTGAAATATTTAAAGAGCATGTTAATATGCACCTATAGGCGGGTCCACAATGCGCGTACACTTTGTCCCATAGATAGCTTTATTTTTGCGCACAAACAGATCTGTTTCCTCGCCACAGAAGCGTTCAGTTTTTTGGCTTGCATATTCGGCCATGAAAATAATAATTGCAAATCTGCCATGGCACAAGCGCAACTGGCTTTTAAAGGGAACGGTAGGTTCCCTTTAAAACAGTTTATTGCGTGTTACGCCCAAAACACACCCATGAATCATTAAGTGAAAATTGACCCGGACAACCCTTTTAGATCATGCACCGGGCGCTCCGACCATTTTCCCTGCTGTTAAACTAGCAAAAGTGGATTCGGACACAACCTAAAGTGCACTTGTACCTTGCGCTTTAGGCCATGCTCTTAGGTCGTTAAAATAGGGCCCTTAGAATATGCAGTTTGGATGATAGTTGTGTTGGCACATTACCTCACTCCACTTGTGCACATCCCAGTGGAAAGAACAGACTTGAGTGAAGCATGGTGCAGTGACAGGAGGCTTGTTTCCTAACACACACCGCTCCTCCTCCACGATCCTCTCTACACCCCTCTCATACTGTACACACTGCACACTCCTCACAGCTACGCCCATCCCGCAAGACACCGAACATTCGCTCTGCCGTCCCACCTGCCACCTACAGAATCATTTCATGAATCAATCCTAATAATATATAAGAAATCAACTGGTTTTGCTTCAATATTGAGCAATAAGTGGTGACCCAACCACAGATGTGGTGACCCAACCACAGATAACCACAGATATAAAACAAAAACCATGATAAAACTTGTTCATTACTTGAAATAAAATACACTTTAACTGAAATAAAATAAAATATAAAAAGACAAACTAAATGAAATGAGAATTTGTTGCCTTGCATATCAGTAAAACTAAATAAACAAACAAATTTTGATATTTTCTGTTTTTAGTCTTGGATGTAAAAAAAAAAACTATACAGATATATATATATATATATATATATATACACACACACATTTTTTTTTATTTATTATTATTTTTTTTTTTAGAAAAATAAAAGTGTCATAAATGAACAAAAAGGGACTGCATAGGCTTTTGGTTCTCAAACATGGGGCCGGGGGCCTCAGCACACTAAAGTTATTTAAAATAAAACAAATGCAGCTAAAACAGCTCACAACAATCAAGATAGAAACTTACCTATTTCTTATTTTAATTTGAAAAGCTTATTTAAATCTAGTCATGGAATTTTTTTAAATCATGCAAATCTCAATATATATATTTTTTTAATTATGTGAAGCTCTAAAATATTTTGTGTATTTTTTGTAAATTATTTAGATAATTCACTGCTAATAAAAATGTACTAATAATTTACCATTTGCAGATAAAACAAACAAACAAACAAACAAAAAAAACAACAACGCCTGATCACAAAAGACTGGAAAGTCATGGAAACTCATAGCTTATAAAGAGTGAACATTTTTAATCTATTATTATTTCATTTTAGTATTGCCTTTCCTAGATTGTGCGGCACAACAATGTTTGAAACTGTACATTGTCACAATTTACATCCCTCGTTAGGTTTTTTTTCTTTATTTTTACTGTTCATTTTATATAAATTACACAGTATTTCTACATTGTCTAAATTTCAATGATGACATTCTCGTTCAAATATACCCCCCCCCCCTTTTTTTTTTTTGTCTGGAAATAACAATGACTAGTTGTAATGTGTATAAACAAGAAGTCAAAACTGTCTGTCTCTTCATGTTCAGTAGATATGAGCTGTGTACAGTCTGTGGTGGTTTACCTGGCAGGACAGATTTCAGTATTACACTCCACTACCTCTGAAGGTCTGGGCACAGACTGACAAGAAGACTCTCCCACCACCAAATCCCTGTTTCCGACTCCTCCCTCCACCCTCTGGGAACAGTACAGGACTCTCTTCGCTAAACCACCTCCACAAGACACACTGCACGGTCCCTGTATGTAGCGCCAACTGATAGAGAAAGACAGTGCTCATCATGCGTGAATGTATAAAAGAAAGTCTAGAAACAAAAAGTAGAGTTTAAGCAATGCTTACACATTAGGACATTTTGATGGGCCACATGGCTGGGTGTACAGCTCTGGTTTACTGGTGCGATCACAAAGGAACTCTGGGACTTCTAGACGGGATTGGTGATCCACACAGGAGAACCAAACCTGCTGAGATCCTGTGTAAATAAGTAAGTATGCACAATTATGCACACACAATCACAAATGAGTTTTGTCCTAATGTCACCATGTGCATTCAGTTGTTTTCTTTACCGTTGCCACAGGTTTTGGAGCACTGGCCAATCACAGGACTCCAAACATAAACTGGAACCATTGTGGAACGGGGCATTACACGAGAGTCTGTACGGGTCAGCTCGGTCTTGAAGACATTTCCGAACAGAGTACATATCATGTTCAATATACACAGGTTGGTAAGATATTTGTTTTGTTTGTTAAAAGTCTCTTATGCTCATCAAATCCATAAATATTTAATTTTTAAAAATACAGTAAAAAGAGTAATATCGTGAAATATTAAAATAACTGTTTTCTGTTTTAATATATTTTCAAATGTAATTTGTTCCTGTGATAGCGAATTATTTTCAGAATTATTACTCCAGTCTTTAGTGTCACATGATCCTTCAGAAATCATTCTAATATGCTGATTTGCTGCCCAAGAAACATTTTTTATTATTATCACAGTTGAAATCAGCTGTGCTGCTTAATATTTTTGTGAAAATGTTGATGTGTTTTTTTTTTCTCAAGAATTTTGGATGAATGGAAAGTTCAAAAGAACAGCATTTATTTAAAATATAAATCTTTTCTGACATAAATGTCTAGTAGTTAAGTAGTGTAAATATGATACAATATTCTATCAGTATTTCTATACATTTTATTTACTAGATATACATTTTTATACAAAACTTAGTTCTAATCTGATCGGCTAAGTGGCGTTTCAAGTGATATTTAGAATAACAGAGAGAGATGCTTCATTGTTTGGAATGTAACTTGTTTGGATGCGGAGCAGATATGTGTCATTTTGCCAGGAGATAAGACTGCATGTTTTTATTATTAATTACAAAATTATTATTCTGAGCATTATCTCTCTCACCATATAGTGAAGAGCAGGATATAGAAAACGTGAAATGTACTGTAGACTGACTACAAAACACCTTGAGCAAATATCTGCTGCTCCTCTCACAGCTGTTCCAGTCCATGTGTTGCTTGGTGACATGCAAAGCTTAATGCTTTGACTTCTTTTAAAACAATGTTTCTTGGCAAAGAAAATTGTACAAAATAATTGGCCATTTGTTTTACACATAAGTTAACTTACTTGATATTGACTCGTTAAATCGCTTAGGATATTGATAATATTAACTTAACTAAATAAATAACTGCAATATCACCTTAAATCGTGCTGATATTCAGTACAGCAGTACTAGTTTGAATAATACTGCTTAATTATAACTTGATGTCAAACAATACAAGCTGACGCTAAATTTATTTTGTAACACAATACCTCTTTTTGGCTATCCCAGCCGACAGGACAAACGTCCACCACACAGGGAACGTGTTCTGGGGGCTTGGGTTCAGAGCACAAATTTTGGTCAACCTCAGAATCAGATCCATGATGGGAGCGGACACACAACACCATTCTCTGGGCCTCCCCGGGTCCACACACGGCCGAGCACTCACCAGGCTCAGACACCTGCCATCTACAACACACACACATACATATGAATATACACACAAACTTGCAGAATGACTCAGTACAGACTCCAAACTATTCTATACAGTTGTCATTAGATCATGGTGAACATTAAATCTAAATGGTCCAAATACCAGCATTGGTATTATTGATATACTAGTATGCATATTTCAATACAATTTTTAACAGGTTTTTAGTTTTAGTTTATTTATTTGCAGTTAATTTAGGTCTTCAACCTAAACTCCTTTGGCAACTAGTTTTTTTTTTTCAGTTAATGTTTATTTTATTTCAAATAATGAAAATGTTTTTATGTGGTTTAGTTTTAGCCAACTATAATAACTTTGACCTATACTGCCTTCATACATTTTCTTGACTCATATTGAAGGATTTCTCTGTGGATTACAATTAAATTTTTGTAATCTCTGTAATCTGACTTGCTCAAACTTTAATTTGCTAACTCATTTCAATCTTACACACTTTGGCACATTACCTGGCAGGACAGATTTGGGAATTGCAGGTTTCAGTTCTTGGTGGTTTAGGGTCAAGCGTACAGTCAGAGTCAGGCAGCTCCACTTTCACCGTACCCTGTTTCTGAAAACACGTCACAGAGCGCACTCGCTCTCCCACTCCACAGGGGGCGCTGCAGGGTCCAAACTCACCTAACTCCCAGCTACAACAGATACACAAATTAACCTCCTGTATTCAAAAACCATGTCCAAAATTAAAATAAAATAAAAATAAAAACTTTCAGCCCTTGCGTTTTTCCTTCAAGTTCACATTTTTATGTTATAAATGTAAAATAAATCTTTTCAGCAAATATTGACTTATATCTTAAGATGACTTATATCTTACTAAGATGCGGTTTTATATAGTAGCCTATCTCCCGGTTACTCTTTCCCCTGGTTTCATAGACAAGGCTTTAAGCCTAGTCCCTGAAATGAGTGTTTGAGCTGTTTTAAAAAGCAACTTGCACTGACATAACTTAGACATGTCAGTGTTATTGTTTTGTCTCAAGATGCACACCAGTAATGTTTATTTTTCAGTAAGGCACGTTTATAAAAGTGTTATAGAAATGTTCTCATTGAACTAAGGCCTAACCCAGATAGCAAACTGACATTGAATCAACGTGGAAACGACGTCTCTCATGACATTGAAACAATGTTGATTTGCTCATCGAATTAACGTTGAACCAACGTCAGACGCGGCATTCTTCAAAGCTAAATGAAATCGAAAATTGGTTTGCTTTCATAACGTTGAAACAACGCGTTGATTTCAAGTTGATTTTCCGTTAGTTTTGAAAGAATGACGCATCTGACGTTGGTTCAACGTTAATTCGATGAGCAAAACAATGTCAGATCAACGTTGTTTCAATGTCATATTTCCACGTTGATTCAATGTCAGTTTGCTATCTGGGAATCCTGGCTTAATCTAAGCCCTGTCTGTGAAACAGGCCTTTATTATGTACAGAAATGGGCCACAGTGAATTTAGACAGATTTTGTTTTCAGACAGTTGAATATAACTTTCAACATGGCCAGCAGCCATATCACCCTGTAGCCAAAACTGGTTGCCCACTGGCACTGAAGCTAAGCAGGGCTGAGTCTGGTTACTACCTGGATGGGAGACCTTCTGAGAAAGCCAGGTTGCTGCTGGAAGAGGTGTTGGTGAGGCCAGTAGGGGGTGCTCACCCTGTGGTCTGTGTGGGTCCTAATGCCCCAGTATAGTAATGGAGACACTATACTGTCAAAGAGCACTGTCCTTCGGATGAGACGTTAAACCGAGGTCCTGACTCTCTGTGGTCATTAAAAATTCCATTAAAAATCCCAATTTGCCCAGTGGCCTCTGTCCATCGTGGCCTCCTAATCATCCCCAAATATACCAATTGGCTTCATCACTGTCTCCTCTCCACCAGTAAGCTGGTGTGTGGTGGGCGTTCTGGTGCACTATGGCAGCCGTCGCATCATCCAGGTGGATGCTGTACATTGGTAGTGGTTGAGGAGATTCCCCTCTCTATGTAAAGCGCTTTAAGTGCAGAGAAAAGCGCTATATAAAATGTAATGAATTATTATTATTATTAATTAATAAAGTCCAGTATAAACGTTACTGACGCTCGTCAACGACAGTTGTCACAGTTGCAAGGCAACAAGAGGAATCCTCTGTAGGATAGACTGTCCCATTTAACAACCCTCGGTCTGACCTTTGCGGCCTTCGAACGATGCAGCCTCTAAATTGGGACACTGCTGAAGTCTACATTAAGTGGTTCATGTTCAGAGTCGTTTCCTTTTTGTTCTTTGCCAAGATAAATGAAAAAAAAATTCTTTGAAATTTTTATGAAATTTCCTGGTATGTTTGAATGGCCACTTGGCAAATGGCAAAACTATGAACCTGAAAACTGAAACGCACCTGGGTGGGCAGTTTGGCAGAAAGCAGGGCTGCAGCAGATCTGGTGTTTGAGGGGATGAACAGAGCTTATCTTCCAGGTGCTCGAATGTGACCACATCTACACATTGCTGACTGATTTTCTGGATGCCTACAAAAGCATTTATAAATGGTTTATACATATACTTGGTATAAATAAAGTTTAAAAAAAAAAACAATATATGGTTCGGTACATATGTATTTATATATCATGTTTATGTGCTGTAAATGTAAATATCCAATCCAATGTCTAAATTATTCATATTTATTGTCAACATTTGATGTATACTTTTCTTTCATGCATTTTATGTAACATATAATTTATGTATATATAAAGAGAGTGAGAGAGAGAGAGAGAGAGAGAGAGAGAGAGAGAGAGAGAGAGAGAGAGAATTTAACTAAAAACAATGTATTTATATAAGATCATTAATAATAATAATACAAATTATAGTTATTTAGGATTAGGATTTAGGATTTATATATATACCAAAAAACTTGTGTATGACTCATTAAAAGAAATTTCACAAAACAGTTCATTCAAATAGTTGTACAAATGTATTTTTACAGTTTGTGCAAAAAAAAAATCATTGTGTTTCTGCATCTGTGTTTGTGAGCACAAATCAGTGCAGAATCTAAACAAAGTTTTACCAAGGATAGCCCACAGCCCTAGTTATAATTTGTTTAGTTGAGATGTATATGAAGTTAACAAAACTGGTCACATGTAATATATTTGTGTGCTCAGAATGCAACTACTCATGTGTTTCCAGTCAGTCACTTCGATGTTTAGTTGATGAGTTGACGTGCTCGACTAAGGATCGCACTTAGAAGCCCCAACAACTCTGACATTTTGAGAAAAGGCCAATGAGTATTGGCGAGTGGAATTTTCATATGCCACTCCCCCGAACATATAGGTGTGAGTTGAGTGGGTGTCAATAAAGACAGATGCTCATTCCATTCATCTCAACTTGCTGGTGTTATGGTCTCTCTGCCCCATGCACAGATAAGTGTAACGAGAGCTCCCCTGGGCACTTCAGTAATTAAAAGAGCAAGCTTTCTTCTAAAAGACCAAAGCACTGGTGAAGGGCATTGTTTTAAAGGGTCATGAAACCCCAAAACATATTTTTTGAGATGTGAACAGATATGTACAGGCTGCATATCACTGAAAACACTCAAAGCGCTTGTAAATTTTACCAATTTATTTATGCAGGGCCACACAGCCACGCCGCAAAACACAGCCATCTGGTTGAACTGTCCCAGACTCCCATCAAGGGCCTGTAAGTTTACTTCCACAATGCCGAAGACAATGCTGCTGGACAGGCTGTATCAGCCCTGCATGCCATGACTATCTTGCAGGTCCATCAGGCCAAGCACTAAAAGAACTACATGAGGGTAGCTCTGTCTCTTTGGTGCCAGAGCTTGGATGCGTGGTCAGCACTCCCCAACCTGTTACACAGGCTTATCAAGATAGTCAGTCTTGGCTATGCGATTCAGTTCACCAGGTGCCTGCCAAGGTTCAGCTGCGTCCTTTTTACTTCGGTGGCAGGCAAAGAAGCTGAACGAAGGGTTTTGCAGCCCTTATTTTATAGTAAGAAAGGAGGCAGGTTACCACCAATCTTAGATCTTCGAGTTTTGAATTGGGCCCTGAACAAGCTGATGTTCAAGATGTTAAAACAAAATGCATTTTGACATGCTTTTGCCCTTAAGATTCTGTTGGTTGTGCCATATTGGTTCATACTTGGTTCTCAGTGCTCATGCTCCTCATGACAGCTCCTCGCTGGTGAATTCCCCTGAAGAAGGACCTTCGGGACACAATTTGGCACCAGCGCTGAGACATCTGGAACCTCCACATCTGGCCACTGGACGGGACACGGAAGACCTAAGTGATGATAATGACTAGCAGTCACAATCATCATTTAGGCCAGAGCTCCATCTACGAGGCGGCTCTATGCCTTGAAGTGGTGTCTGTTCGCGAACTGGTGTTATTCCTTAGGTGAAGACCCACATAGATGTGTAGTCGGATTGGTACTTTCCTTCCTGTGGCCTCCATAGCGGCACTTTACGATGCAGTGGACGGAAACGTGACCTAATCTTCAGGTTCCTCAGAGGCGCCAGTATGTTAAACCCTCCAATGCTGTGCCTTATTCCTGTTGGGACTTCTCTGTAGTCTTGCTGGGCCAACAGAGAGCTCCCTATGAGCCTCTGGAGTCAGTTGAGTTGAATACCCTCTCTTTGGGGCCGTTTACACCTGGCCACTTTATGCATTTTCTGTGATCGGATAGCTATCCGATCATCAAAAGACCAGGTGTAAATGCCCCCCGAAACGCATTTGAGACGGATTTGAATCCGATCGCTCAAACCACATCAGAAGGTGGTCTGGGCCGCATTCCAGACGAAACTGGACAAGTGTAAATGCATCTGGTTGTTGAAACCACATATGTCATTTTTATTCCTCCCAAAAATGCTAAAAAATAAACGTGTGAGAGCATGTTATAGGCTATATGTTATGTTATTTTGGTCAGATATGACGACGCTACTGCGACACGCATCACCTCAGATGAGCAGCTGAGCCTCTATTCATCTAGCCAACGATTTGCTATCTATTGCAAATCAAAGTGAAAGTAAGACGCAGACAATTAACACTACCATTTTCATTAAAAGTAAAGAAACGAAATGATCTTACCAGGGCTGTTGCCGCTCTCTTATTGCTGCCTTTGCTGATTTTGAAATTAGCCGATGATCAATAAAATGCAGATCATATCTGTTGCTTTCGGTGACGTGCACTTAAATCTGTATATAGCGCGGGAATTGAAGATCGGATTTATATCCGTTTTGCAAAAACACATTTATGTGGCCAGGTGTAAATGGAATCGTTTTAAGAAATCCGATAGCTATCCGATCTGAGAAAACGCATGAAGTGGCCAGGTGTAAACAGCCCCTTTGAAGACGGCCCTCCTGACTGCACTCACACGTCAAAAGGGTTAGGGACCTGCAGGCGTTCTCTGTTAGCGAAACATATAGAGTTCGGTCTAGCATAATCTCACGTGATCCTGAGATCCTGACTAACTGTGCCCAAATTTCCTACTGCCCTGTTTAGGGATACAAGTGGTGAACTTGATATAAAAGGCCCAGGGTGTGCCGTGCCCCCTAGGAGTGCAAGAACACTGCACCAGGAGTGATGAATTCTCCTGGACTTTAGCGAATGGAGCCTCTCTGATAGATATCTGTAGAGAAGCGGGCTGGGCGACACCCAATATCTATGCAAGATTTTACAATCTTTGGGGTTGAGCCAGTTTCATCCTGTGTGTTTGCTGGGCCACCAGTCATCGTGTTTGTGGAGCACCTCCCTTATCAGGTAGGACCTAATAAGACTTTTTCCCATGTGTGGCACTTCCAAGTCGGAAAGTCCTTGGTTACAGTTGTAACTTTCGTTCCCTGATGGAGGGAACAAGACATTGTGTCCCTCCTGCCACAACCCTAAACTACTCGCTGAAATAACCAGGACACTGTCTCGGCTCCTCAGCACAAACTTGAATGAGTGGATGCATGCCATCTCAGGTGAGTGGCATAAACAAATTCCACTCGCCAATTTTCATTGGCCTTTTCTCAAAGTATCAGAGGTGTTTGGGGCTCCCAAGTGCGACTCCTAGTGTCCGTACATCCACACAACCTTACGTTCCCTCTATCAGAGAATGGATGTTACAACAGTAACCAAGATGTTACCTGTACCGCAGGTTACTGAGCAGGTAGATATGACAGTGGACCATCTGCCCTGAACAGCTCTCTCCACTGAAACAGCATCAAATGAGTAGTACTGGTATGTGATGTTTGGACTGGTGAGGTCTCCATACTCCTGCCCATATTTCCGAAACACCTAAAAATGTGCAATTTCGTTACAAGTGAAAATGAATACTGAACACTGACATTCAGAAAGTCATAAATGATGAATGTGCAGAAACAAAGAAAGATGATAATTCAGATGCTGCACACCTGTATGTGGATCTTGTCTGTAACTGGTCCAGAAATAGTGAGCTCTTCAGTTTGAGGTTGGTGGTCCGGTGAGAGGTAGAGGTGATAGATTATGGGGCTCTTCTCCAGAGGTGAGGGGTATGTGATGCTTAGCCCTGGGCTTCCATCTCCAGACACCACATATTTATCATTTAATAACACCGCTGTGGGAAGGAGGGACATTTCTTTTATATATAGTCTTTTGATATAGTCTTTGAACTGTATTTGATCTTTGGTTGGACATTATTCAGTGTGTCTATCAATGTATCAAATGCAAGAAAAGACAATACTTACAGATGGATACATATAAATTGCCTTTTTAAAAGACATTTATGAAAGCCACACTGTGGAACTTTTCAACCTTTATAATACAGTATATTACCAAAACCCATTGAGATGGTACATCGACTTACAATAGGTTGAATGACGTGTCTGCCGTAGCCTGAAGGTGTCTGTATCGCTTTTACTAACACTTTGTAACTTCAGGTTTCGGGTAGGAACCCGAGCACAAAAAGAACTACAAAATTCGACCACTTTACGGCATACGTCACTTCCCCCACCACCCACAACTTCCTCAGATTCTGACGTTAGTGCTCAACTCGCGTTTGATTGCCGTCTGTATGTTTTCGTCATGCCTGAACAACAGCTACAAGGAAGAAGGCAACGGTTTTATCAGAGGAAACCAAAAAAAGAAAAGGGGAGAGTGACAAATTAAAAGCCAGGACGAGGATTAACATTGGTCCAGCTTTCGCTTAACTCGCAGGCGTGAGCTAAAAGAGGAAGGGTGCTTGACCGATGTGGACTGCACACAAATGCCGTTTCCAAGGTAACCCAAATAAATTCATTTAAGCAGTGTAGTATTTTCTGGTATTCCGGCCACAGCCGATGGTGTATGAGTGTAATAAAATGCCCACAGCCCAGCAGTGCAGTGTCAAATATAACTTTACATTAAATGTAGCGAACGTCCCCACGACTCAGTAGTACCCACAAACACTACACACCACGGTCCCACGGTTTCTGTAAAAATAAACCAACACACATAACGTTGCAGTCAGCTCAGGCCGACGGTGTTTTGCAGTGAATGTGCCCACTGTCCCGCGCCCACATTCACTCACAGACATGATAAGCCCCACGGGGCTCACCCCGCTCTCAGCAGACTGCTATAAGGGAATCGAGCGCGGCAAGGCTGCCCAGCCCGCCTCAAACATTGCAAGCAAACACAACCTAAAGACACGGGAGGCTGACCGGTTGACTGTTTGTTGACTTTAATTTGTGACATTGCTGCAGAGCTTGTGGCCTCTAGGGACGCTAGACGTGAAAGTTACAGGTCGAGCGCCCCCTTGTGGCCAAAAGTTCCACAGTGTGGCTTTAAGCATTTGTTAATCTGAATAAATAAATCAACATTCAACAAGAAAACATTATATTTAACAAAAAGTGACAAAATGATATAGAACAGCAGCGCTTGCTGTAATATTAGAAAATATTTCTGTTTTACATAAATGATGTCCTTTCATATTAATCATTTGTTTTCGACGTTGATAATAAAAGTTTCTTGAGCACCAAATTTCTAAAGGAACATGTGACACTGAGGAAATTGTAATATTTGTAATAATGGTTAAAATATTACTGTTTTACTGTATTTTTAAAAACATAAATGCAGCTTTGGTGAACATCAGATATATATTTTTAAAAATGCAAAAAACAACAACAACAATTCCAAACTTTTGAATGGGAGTGTATATGAAGTCAATCCCCTTTTCTAACTTGGAATAGCCTTGACTAATGCTTGTAACAAGAGTGTTCAAGGATTTAGTGCTAATTAGTTTTAAAAATTCTAAACTATTTAATCATGAAATATGCAACTAAATTTAATTCTCTCAGACACTCTCATTCCATCATACAAAACTTCAATACCAAACTGTGTAAATAACAGTGTTTAGCCCTTCTTACAGGATTCACAACTGTATTCTGCTGTTGTGTAAACGTAGCTATACTCACCAAGGTGTGTAAAAACGGGCTTTGTATTAATCACATGAACCTGAGAGGTGTTCATAGGAAGGGTGAGGAAAGTGACATACTCTTGAAGACAACAGACAAAAAGAGGTTATTGTGCATATAGGTAAGCAAAAAACTGGACGAATTATGGATATTTCTGAAAATGACCCCTACCTACCTCCAGCCTCTCCACCTGAATAGCTGTTTGAGATTAATTGGCAGGTGGAGCCATTGCCCCCACACACCCCACACACATCCTCCACCTTTCCAGAATGCATAACTCCATCACAGCCAAACAGCTTACCAGGGAAGTAAACCATATGAAGAAATTACTTGTTAAATATTCATTCACTGTCCAATTTGAAGGTCAAAGTGGACAGAAACATATTTCAGTTTTAAAATAAGCAAACTTTGTTTACGTTATGTGTGTGGCATTACCTGGCACTTTCCACCCAAACAGGCAGAAATGGAACCACGTGGTACAGTGTTACCAGCTTCACACCGTGTCCCATCAATGAACTGAGACCCACGACTCACCATGAAGTCCTGCTCACGTGAGCGACACATCAGTTTACACTGAGCATCACCTGGAAGGGAGAGGAAGACATTAGAACAGAGAAAACAACAAAGGACAAATTCAACTGGAAGACCTTTACTAGGTTGACCTGAGGTGTAGCTGACGGCAGGGATCCAGGTGTAGACTGAGCTGGAGTCTGCAGACACTGAAAGAGGCTGCTGGTCTGTGGCTGAGCACTGCTGAGACATGAATTCCAGCTGAGTCGACTCACAGGGCTGTAACAAACAATGGCAAGCCAGGTATAACCAATTTATCTTTTCACCTTATCTTTTTTTTCATCTTTTTTTCACCCTCTCTAAGACCATTAAACAGGCTGTTCTCACTACTGTACATGTAACACTTATTAAGTGTTAATGGCATCTGTTATTAAAAATGCCTGTAATGAAATCAAAATTGACCCTATTTACTTTGCTAGCGGGCTGCGGGCATTACTAGTATTGTGGTGAACAATCAATCTGTTAATCTGAAAGTTAATACACCATTCATCCATCTTCTTCCGCTTCATCCGGGGCCGGGTCGCGGGGGAAGCAGTCTAAGCAGAGATGCCCAGACTTCCCTCTCCCTAGACACTTCCTCCAGCTCTTCTGGGGGGACACTGAGGCGTTCCCAGGCCAGCCGGGAGACATAGTCTTTCCAGCTTGTCCTAGGTCTTCCCCGGGGCCTCCGCCCAGTGGGATGTGCCCGGAACACCTCCCCAGGGAGGCGTCCAGGAGGCATCCGGAACAGATGCCCGAGCCACCTCAGCTGACCCCTCTCGATGTGGAGGAGCAGCGGCTCTACTCTGAGCTCCTCCCGACTGACCGAGCTTCTCACCCTATCTCTAAGGGATCGCCCAGCCACCCTGCGGAGAAAGCTCATTTCGGCCACCTGTATCCGGGATCTTGTCCTTTCGGTCATGACCCAAAGCTCATGACCATAGGTGAGAGTAGGAACGTAGATTGACCGGTAAATCGAGAGCTTTGCCTTACGGCTCAGCTCCTTCTTCACCACAACAGACCGGTACATCGACCGCATTGCTGCAGAAGCTGCACCGATCCGTCTGTCAATCTCCTGTTCCATCCTTCCCTCACTCGTGAACAAAACCCCAAGATACTCCTCCACTTGAGGAAAAATTTCTCCACCAACCTGAAGTGAGCAAGCCACCCTTTTCCGGCTGAGGACCATGGCCTCGGATTTGGAGGTGCTGATTCTCATCCCAGCCGCTTCACACTCGGCTGCAAACCTCCCCAGTGCATGCTGAAGGTCAAGGTGTGAAGGGGCCAAACATGACAACATCATCCGCAAAGTGCAGAGACGAAATCGTGCGGCCCCCAAACCTGACACCCTCCGGCCCCTGGCTGCACCTAGAAATTCTGTCCATAAAAATTATGAACAGAACCGGCGACAAAGGCCAGCCCTGCCGGAGTCCAACATGCACTGGGAAGAAGTCTGACTTATTACCGGCAATGCGAACCAAGCTCCTGCTTCGGTCATACAGGGACCGGACAGCCCTTAGCAAAGGACCCCGGACCCCATATTCCCGGAGCACCCTCCACAGGCCACCTCGGGGGACACAGTCGAATGCCCTCTCCAAATCCACAAAACACATGTGGACTGGTTGGGCAAACTCCCATGAACGCTCCAGCACCCTGTAGAGAGTATAGAGCTGGTCCAGTGTTCCACGGCCCGGACGAAAACCACACTGTTCCTCCTGAATCCGAGGTTCCACTACCGGCCGTATTCTCCTCTCCAGTACCCTGGCATAGACTTTCCCAGGGAGGCTGAGAAGTGTGATCCCCCTGTAGTTGGAACACACCCTCCGGTCCCCCTTCTTAAAAAGAGGAACCACCACCCCGGTCTGCCATCCCAGAGGCACTGTCCCCGACCGCCACGCGATGCTGCAGAGGCGTATCAACCAAGACAGCCCCACAACATCCAGAGACTTGAGGTATTCAGGGTGGATCTCATCCACCCCCGGTGCCTTGCCACCGAGGAGTTTCTTGAATACCTCGGTGACCTCAGCTAGGGTGATGGACGAGTCCACCTCTGAGCCCTCAGCCTCTGCTTTCTCAATGGAATTGGGATTGAGGAGATCCTCTAAGTATTCCTTCCACCACCCGACGACATCCCCAGTTGAGGTCAACAACCACCCACCCCTACTGTAAACAGCATTGGTGGGGGACTATTTCCCCCTCCTGAGGCGCCGGACAGTTTGCCAGAATCTCTTCGAGGCCAACCGATAGTCCTTCTCCATGGCCTCACCGAACTCCTCCCAGGCCCGAGTTTTTGCCTCCACAACCACCCGGGCCGCAGCCCGCTTGGCCTGCCGGTACCTGTCAGCTGCCTCCAGAGTCCCACAAGCCAACCAGGCCTGATAGGACTCCTTCTTCAGCTTGACGGCATCCTTTACTTCCGGTGTCCACCACCGGGTTCAGGGATTGCCGCCTCAACAGGCACCGGAGACCTTACGGCCACAGCTCCGAGCAGCCGCTTCGACAATGGAGGTGGAGAACATGGTCCACTCAGACTCAATATCTCCAGCCTCCCTCGGGATCTGGTCGTAGCTCTGCTGGAGGTGAGAGTTGAACATCTCTCTGACAGGAGATTCGGCCAAACGTTCCCAGCAAACCCTTACAGTACGCTTGGGTCTGCCAAGATTGTCCAGCCTCCTCCCCCGCCATCGGATCCAACTCACCACCAGGTGGTGATCAGTTGACAGCTCCGCCCCTCTCTTCACCCGAGTGTCCAAGACATACGGCCGCAGGTCAGATGAAACGATCACAAAGTCGATCATCGACCTACGACCTAGGGTGTCCTGGTGCCACGTGCACTGGTGGACACCCTTATGCTTGAACATGGTGTTCGTTATGGACAAACTGTAACTAGCACAGAAGTCCAATAACTGAACACCACTCGGGTTCAGGTCGGGGGGGCCGTTCCTCCCAATCACGCCCCTCCAGGTGTCACTGTCATTGCCCACGTGAGCGTTGAAGTCCCCCAGTAGAACAACGGAGTCCCCAGTTGGAGCACTTTCCAGCACTCCTCCCAGAGACCCCAAGAAGGCCGGGTACTCTGCACTGCCGTTCGGCCCGTAGGCACACACAACAGTGAGAGACCTATCCCCAACCCGTAGGCGCAGGGACACGACCCTCTCGTTCACCGGGGTAAACTCCAACACATGGCGGCTGAGCTGGGGGGCTATTAGCAAACCCACACCAGCTCGTTGCCTCTCACCATGGGCAACTCCAGAGTGGTGAAGAGTCCATCCTCTCTCAAGGAGTGTGGTTCCAGAGCCCAAGCCATGCGTAGAGGTGATCCCGACTATCTCTAGTCGGAACCTCTCAACCTCACGCACAATCTCAGGCTCCTTCCCCGCCCCGAAAGTTAATACATATATTTTTTTAAATGTTTGTTGTGGTAATCTTTAATCAAAATCTGAAAATGTGCTTCTGCTCTGGAATGGCGTTCTTTCTCTGATGGGGTCAGTTTGATGGCTTGGGTTGAATATCCTTAACCACGAGTGATGGAGAGTAGTGTAGTTACAAATGTGTTAAATGTTTAATTATGTTACAATACAATAGTATTTAAACTGTACAGTATTTTCCATTTTGAGGCATAGATGATGAGATTTAAAGAGCAATCCTGCTTGCTGACATTAACCTTTTGTCACTCCTCAAAGTATAGCTGGGCTTTTGTCTCTATGAAAATGTTATGGTTTGAGAGATCTAATCTGGTTGAATGGATCACCATCTATCCATGACACCGTTATGCTGATGAGATCAGGAAATCTCTGCAGACGAGCAAACTCATTTACACACCCTCTTTATGCAGTTGAAATATATAAACTTCAATGTAAAGCCCCTTTCACACAGAGATTCTGGAAAATACATGGATAATGTGACCCGGCGTTTGTCCTGGGATTGTTTGATTTCGGTTCATTCACACTGCCAGTGATTTACCGGGATCTGTGAGTGCGTTCACACTCAACCCGTAAAGATCCCGTAAAGACACATGACGTCAGGATGAGATGTGTAACGTACGCGTCGAAAACATGTATACCATACCGTTCCACAAAGCTGGTGAACGATCTCAGCTTCAGCGCAGATAGCGAGGAGCTCCTGGTCTCTGCTTCGTTCCAGTTTGCAGACATTTGTTCGTCCTTTCTTTGTTGATGACAAACTTTCTTCTAAGAGCAACAGACAGAATCGCGCGATGGCACGAGCGTCATCATTATGACACACCCCTAACGACATTGGTCCTGGCTTTTGTTCACACAGTGCCCGTTCCGGGACTGATTCCGGTAATGTTACTAGGTCCCCAACTCGGCATCGATGTCGGTATCAATCCCGGGTCGTGTTTGCGTTCACGCAGAAGGCATTCTGGCAATTTTCCGGCAATTTCCCGGGATCAACGCGCTGTGTGAAGGGGGCTTAAGATTCCCTTAGTTTAGACTCGACGATGATTGAAGATACCGACAGCTTGTGTTCTCAATAAAGAATCCTAATGAAGATACCAAGTCTCCTGGTCTTCGCTTCTGAGTTTCCTACTCTTTAGAAGAAAAGAAACAAGAGCTAACATAAAATAAAAGCCCACTCTCCATTCAATATTCAGTTTTACTTGGAAATACGACACAACACTGAAGTAAAATCAATTGCAACTTCTGATTCTTAGGGACTTTAAGTTGCAGTCACACTACACTTTGATCCATTTCCGCTTGTCCACACTTTCGCCACTTTCTTCTAGGTCAGGGTTCCCCAAACTGGGGTTTGTTAACCCTGGAGAGAACCACAGGAATGAGTTGATGAAAAACAATAGGTTACTTTTGTAACCCCGGTTCTCTGAAACATCGGGTGGAGAGATCCTCCTATGGGAAGGGCATCCTTACCTGACATCTGCAGAAGTGTCCAATTGCACCAAGTCTGGCTATATAGACAGAAGAGCGCAGCCAATGCCAGGTGAGGCCCCGCCCCTTTACCTGAGGGCATATAACGCCTGCAAGCGCTGCTGTTCTCCAGTAAGTATTCGCATCTTGTGCGGCAAGCGGGGCAAAACTGGTGGATCTCTCCACTCGATATTTCAGAGAACCGGGGATACAACAGTAACCTATTGTTCTCTTTCATCATCTCGTGTTGAGATCCACCTATGGAAAAGACATAGAGAGCTCTCCAATTGCCCAATGCACTCACAGTGAGGTTCTGTAGAAGGACGATCACCCCAGGGAGGCGGTGCCTGACACATCCCATAATTATGAACCTGCAATCCTGATGCACACACATAACTGCTGTGCACTGTGACATGAAATATGTATGTGGCACACGTACGAATATGAGTCCAATACATATATATATATATATATATATATACTGTATATATATATATATATATATACATATATACATACCCAGGAAGGAATGTAAATGCATGCTGGGTGACAGGAATGAGCATGGCCTGCCCGCCCATTCACCCTCTGTTCTTTTATTTCCAATGGGTAATTGGAAAGAAAAGGGGGTCAAAGGGAAGGGCTCTGAAAGCCCCACCTCTAAAACAGAATGTGCTACCGAGAATCTGGTGAGATCTAGCTGGTAGCAATGCACAAAGCATCTCCGCAAACTAATCGAAAATAACCAAAATAATCCAAGGTTTTTATTTAACACCGTGGCTAGACTAACAAATAAACAGACATCACCAGAACAAAATATACCGTTACAGTTTAGTAGTAATGATTTTATGAATTACTTCAATGCGAAAATAGAAAGCATCCGAAACAAAATTATAAATGTACAATCCGCTATGGTGTCTTATGATTCAGCTTCAATTATGGCCCCTCTAGAACAACTAAACCGCTTTACAACGATAGGACAGGAGGAGCTAAATAAACTTATCATTGCATCTAAACCAACAACATGTTTATTAGATCCAATACCCACTAAACTACTGAAAGAACTATTACCTGCAGTGGAAGAGCCTCTCCTCAATATTATTAACTCGTCTTTATCTTTAGGTCATGTCCCAAAAATATACAAGCTGGCTGTAATAAAACCGCTCATTAAGAAACCGCAATTAGATCCAAATAACTTGGCAAATTACAGACCCATCTCAAATCTTCCATTTATGTCCAAAATACTTGAAAAAGTAGTGTCTGTTTAAATGGGAAAAAATCAAAGATAACGTCAGTAGACTATGGAGTACCGCAAGGATCGGTTTTAGGTCCTCTGCTATTCTCAATATATATGCTGCCACTTGGTAATATTATAAGAAAACATGGAATTAATTTCCACTGTTACGCTGACGACACTCAACTATATATTTCATCACGACCAGATGAAAACACTAACTCATCTAAAATGACAGTGTCTCAAAGATATAAAATGCTGGATGACGCGTAATTTCCTGCTATTAAATTCAGATAAAACGGAGGTATTACTTATTGGTCCAAAAAACTACTCACAAAACCTCTCACAATACAACTTTAATATAGACGGATGTCCTGTTACTTTATCCACTACAGTAAAAGACCTGGGTGTTATACTAGACCGCAACTTGTCTTTCGAAGATCATATTTCATATGTTACAAGAACAGCCTTTTTCCACCTTAGAAACATTGCTAAGCTACGTAACATGCTATCTGTTTCTGATGCAGAAAAGTTAGTTCATGCATTCATGACCTCGAGACTAGATTACTGTAATGCTTTATTAGCCGGTTGTCCTGCATCCTCAATAAACAAGCTACAGTTAGTACAAAATGCAGCTGCTAGAGTTCTTACTAGGTCAAGAAAATATGATCATATAACACCGATTTTATCATCTCTACACTGGTTACCTATTAAGTTCCGCATCAACTACAAAATACTACTACTGACCTATAAAGCCCTAAATGGTTTAGCACCTATGTACTTAACGGACCTTCTTTCGCCCTACAATCCACCGCGTTCCTTAAGATCACTAAATTCAAGGCTTCTGGTCATTCCTAGGATATCGAAGTCCAGTAAAGGAGGGAGGGCGTTCTCGCATTTAGCTCCAAAACTCTGGAATGGCCTTCCCGATACGGTCCGAGCCTCTGACTCGCTGACACAGTTTAAAACTAGATTAAAGACGCATCTCTTTAGTCAAGCATTCACATAATGCTTACCTTCTAGTCCTCTGTTACGCCATACGGAACCGTTTGCCACTGAAACTGCTTAACGCACCAGTGGGGCTCGACAGCCTTTTAGACAAACGGGTCGGCGCGTATGGTTGGGTTGCGGAGAGTTCAGGTTACGGAGAGTTTGTGAGTTATAACGGAAATCATTATGAACATCAGCTATGCTAATTATTTCCCATCTGCCTTTCTGCTGTTATCTCGGGACGCTTGTCCCGAGAAAAATGGCGTTCGTCAGGTCCAGTTTTGTGTCCAGCCTCTCACGGGGATTTCGGATGCCCCAACGCCTGTGATGAGACGACTCAACGACTGTGAAGAGACGACTCAACGCCTGCGATATGCTATGGCGCCGTTTGATTCATAAACAATATTCATATTTAATATTTATATTTAAACAATATGAATGTAAGCCAGAGGAGAACTGGCCCCCGACTGAGCCTGGGTTCTCCCAAGGTTTTTTCTCCATCCAATCTGATGGAGTTTGGTTCCTTGCCACTGTCGCCTTGCTTTTGGCTTGCTTTGAGCTTGCTCAGTTGGGGTTATTTAGTGTTTAGCAATGTTGTTGATCTGTGTTGTGCTACTTTCATGTTATCACTGTGAAGCTGCTTTGATACAATCTGTATTGTGAAAAGCACTATATAAATAAATGTGACTTGACTTGACTTGACAAAGGTATGAGGAGAAGCCCAACTGGCAGTAGAGCATATGTCCTGCAGTGACACTCCCCTAAACAAAGCCCAAGAGGCGGATAAGCCCCTCGTGGAATGGCTCTGATGTCCCCTGGTGGCTACACTCCCTTTGATTCATATGCCAAAGCTATAGCATCCACAAGCCAATGTGAGATGCATTGCTTAGATATGGGACTCCCTCTGTGAGGGGGTGCCCATGAAATAAAGAGCTGGTCGCTCTTCCGGAAAGCACTTGTCCTGGCCATATATGTCTGTAAGGCATGGACAGGACACAAAGCAGCTTCTGATCCTCTGTGGAGGAAAAAGGTAGAGGGTGAAAAGCAGACAGCTCTAACAACTCCAATGTGAATGCAGGGAAGCATTTAGGCATTAGGCTTAAGGGAAACCTTATGTCCACTAAGAGAGAATTTAGTGCACGATGTATGAACCGAGAGTGCATGTAGCTCACTGACACGTTTAGCTGACGCCAAGGCCAAGAGCAAAGACATCTTGAAAAACAGCAGCTTTAGGGAAATACTTCCCAGAGGCTCAAACGGATATTGAGACAGAGCCTACAGCACCATAGAGAGGATCCAACTCAGGAACAGTTCTCCTGATGAATGGCAAAGAGCGACGGGCACCCTTCATAAATCTGCAGATTAGATGGTGCTGCTCGACTGCAGAGCCCTCAAAGCCCACAAGAAAGTCAGAAATTGCCCATTACACCACCCTTCAAACACTTGCCACTTGCAACCATATAAGGACCATATAGAAAAGGCCGAGCTTGACGCTTTGTGTCGCAGCAACTTTCAGACGGCGACACAGGAGTTTCTTCGGCAGCATAAGGCAATGGCTGCAATTCTCCGGGTTCTCCCAAACCTCTTCTGCGTACTCGAGGCCCAAGCAGACCAAGCAGAACGGGTGAAGGTTTTTCGCCGCGATCAGCACACCACACGAGGCCGGGCAGGTGAAAGGCTGTTTCAGGGACAAGCGGCAGATTTGGAAAGCGACATATCGTGAAAAATTAGATCTGTGGCGGGCCGCCATGGAAAGGGGAGTAGGTGAAAAAATAAGAAGAGTGTGGGCA